AGGACAGAGCAGGATCAGGCCTCAACACAGCTAGAGTTGCAGAGCTAAGAGGATCCTCTCGGGGGATAGGAACCGATCATCCAGGTTGAAACAACTTGAGAGCCTGGCTGCCCACCACACTAGTCAGAGACAGGAGTGGTAAGTTGAGAAGGGAGCATAAAAAACCAATTTGACTCCATTTCCCTATTTCCCACCCACTATGGGGCCCAACAAGGGAAAGTACAAGCATGTAGCCAACCTAAGATAAAACAGATATAGATACCAACCCTCCGCTGTTCACTTGATGCATGTCTGACTGGGGCAGACTAGCCAATTGATTTAGTAGGTCTTCAATAAACCTCTCATTTTTTCCTTTATCTTCCCCCTCCCAAAAGGAACCATAGCCCCTGGGCAGGTTTAATGACCATATGAAGGAACGATAAAGAATATTTGGGCAGCCAAGCCATAGGATGAATATTGCTTGTGAGTAGTCATAGCAGACAGGAAATGGGAGCTAAAGCCAACACATCTGTCCAAGGGCAGTGCATAAGAGCCCCCTTACCATATCAAGCAAGAACCCTTCAGGGGAGGTAGAAATAGCCTAAGCCACTCTACCCCTTTGAGATTTTTTTTCTTGTCTCAATAAACATACTTGAACTTGAACTTAAAGAAGCCATGAGAGGGTTATCAAAAGAAGGCACCAAGTCAGGAAGACTATTCAGCACCATCTGCATCACAGAATATTTAAAATGCCCTAAATACTGGTAAGGATGCCAATATGAAAGCAAAAATACATAAGACAAGCAACATAAAAATTATCAGACTCGCCAAGATTCTATCTAGGAGCAACTTAATATATTGTTCCTTCCAGTCTATGTACTAATTCTTTTCAGTAGATACATTATCTAGAGACCTTACTGAGCAGTCACATGCTTGCCAAAATGCCACTACTAGGCACAAAGTGAGATTACTCCCTTGGTGTTTGCTTTGTTTACTTCTATACTCCAGTTGACATTTGAAAATACTTAATACCATACAATACTTTTATTACTAATGCTGTAATTGATACAAACGTTTTCATTATTCCCCCTGGCAAGAAGTAGCCGAGAGAGAAAAACCCAGGAGAAACATAAATGCTTACATTTCAACCTTAAGCTTACTAACAATTGTAACATTATATGCAAATAAGTAATGGCAATGTCTTCTTACAGACCTAACAACATAGGATAAAAACCCACACTTTTGTATTTATAAATTATATGTAAAGATTTACACCAACCATTGAAAAGCAGAGGTGCAATAGGTATGCTGAGGAAGAACTATCAACATCAAGGGGCCAAAACGCCCAAAACTTTTCAACACACTCCCGCTACATGTAAGGAGCGTAACTGGCCAGCCCCTCACAGTGTTCAAGAGAGAACTTGACAAACTCATCCAAAGAATCAACCAGGCTGTGATTCATACATCAGGCTACGAGCAGCTGCGTCCAACAGCCTGGTTAACCAAACGACCAACCAGGAGGCCGGGTCGGAGACCATGCCACAGGGCCGTTGATCCCCAAAAGCGACCCAAGATAGATACAAAGTAGGTAGGTAAGTCTTTCTCACTTTCCTAAGTGCTTTGTCAAGGTCTGACGGTCTGCGTATGTGGTTAGGATGACAAGCATGTGGATTAGTCATCAAGATGCAAGTCTCATCCTAACCACAAGCTCAGGTCTCAACAAAGCACTCAGGAAAGTGCAAAAGACAGTGTAAATCTTTACATAAAATTTACAGATAAGTAAGTGTGGGTTTTTATCCTATTATATACAAATTAAATCATTCCTGAGGAAGATGAGCACTTAACAACTGTACATATTACTTTTTTATACCAATTTTTTTACGTTGTCATTTTTCTCACTAGTTAGGTTACTCAAAATGATTTTTCTCAATATAATCTATTAATCATCTTACTTCCAGTTCTTATTACTTCTGGGTGACCCGAGTAGTGGAACAGTGTGGAATCCTTCCACCCTGCCTAGCACTTGAGCCCAGATCCTGGTGCTAGTACAGTGAAGGAGCTAATCACTTTGCCCCAGGATACCCCTTCTCATACATAAATATTAAAGCATGCCCATGACATACATTAAAAAGGATGACAAAGTCTAACTAACAACTGCATACCTAATGTATAGAAAGAGCTCTTCTTCAAGATTTGTATCTAGAGTAAATAAGTGAGTAATTTCAGTTACTAATATCATAGAACTGAAAGTTATGAAATATCTAGTTTCCCATATGAAATATAACATGACTTTTAATATATTTTTAATCTTTCAATACAATGAAAAAAAATCAGTATTTTGCAGCAAGAAGTTAAAAGATTTTATACTACACTGTATCTATAAAGATTGTGTTCAATATTTAAATAAAACTAGTTAACAAACTAATAACGGTATATACAAAAGCACTCAATTGTAAATTTCTACCATTTAAACACACACCTCCTATATTTTAACACATCAATACCATTTAATTTAGTCTCTGTAATTCACTCTAATTAAATTTTGTATTAATTTACATTTAACTACAAATAGATATAACCAATTCCAGGAAATTCTCACAAAAATCAAAGTATGTACTGTAACTTACAGAGAAAATAAGGATGAATTCCAGAGACCTCCAAAACTCCCCTTTTATCTACTACTCTCAATAAAACATCAACCTAATTATTGTTATGAAGTACTCCTGCCACTTTCTAACCACAAAAACATTAATAGTGAAGTACTGTACAGAACATTTGGAGGAAAAGTGCTACAATAATAGAGCCCCAAAGTGCACAAGAGACAACATAATAAATGTTTCAATGTCCGATCTTGGTATTTTGGCCTCATGCACCAAAACAGTTCGGTTGCATACACCCTGCACACAAATTCACGCATAGTAAATGGGCAAATACAATACCTGTACAGGTAAAACCGCCTTTGCACATGTAGGAATTTGCTTCCATTAAACTTTGACTGAGGAAGAGCAAACTGTGCATAAAGCGATGATATACAAATTTTAAGAATCCCTTTATGACGCAGTGAATGAGAGCAGACTCCATAAACTGTCATCAGTATATTGCCATGCTTATATTTTTTAAACATAAGGATTAACGTTCATAGTACATTACTCTATTATGATTTTCAAGTCTAGCTGCAATGTGTAATATACTGTAATACTAAATGTTTGCCTCACAATATAATTTAACTTAATAATACAATAATTTAATGTGCGTAATGTACATGTCCCTAAGGAAAGCCTTCAAGTTGGTACATTAAGGACAACCAAATTGCCTACAGAACACGTATTGTGAAAATTATCAACCTCTCCTGATGACACTTTTAGTTTCGAGTACAAGAGTCAAGAGGATGATTGAACCACAAACACTGATTCTATCAATGGTTAAAGTTAACCCTGATGAAAAAGAATCAATGTTTATCAGCTGATTTTTGAGAAATGTGAGAAATATATTAATACATAACAATATAAAATTAGTGAACATCACTTTTTGAGCTAAATCATTACATTGTTAGGATCTGGTGCAGTGCAAAAATCAAATGATAAAAACACAGAAGGCAGCAATTGGGGAAAAAAAAAGCCTTATTAAGCATATCTATAGAATTTAAAAGCACAATGCCACACTAAAGTTCTGTGAAGTGCTAATTATCTGAAATGAGATACAATTCTAATAAAACCACCAGCGAGAAGATGGGCAAAATACAAAAACTAATTTACACAGGACTAAGATACATACAAATACTAGGTTAAAAAGATGTCTTTAGCTGTGGCACCACTTACAGCCTGTTAAACCATCCAAACCACAATTGCAAGAAGTGGTTATGATATTGACTTCATCTTGTTCAATACAGCATGCCATGAATGCAATTTAGTATAATACTGCACATGCACTTAACCAAAATTCAAAAGTTTTTGTTTATGCATCTGGCAAAAGTTATAAAAATCAGTAGCAAAATACAAGTACAAAGAATGTGTGGAAAGAAGCAAATCAGCTTTCAGATGTAGTGAACAAGATAGGGGTTAGTAAAGCTTTAGCAGCACAGTCTGGAAGGATAAAGAATGCTCAAGATGCTCACAGTGATGTACTGGAACTGTATGTGTTCATGGACATGAAAATGTATGATTGGTCTAGCAATGCTTCATCTAGGCTTCTGTAACCCAGCTCAGGAAAAATGCTGCACATCTGACTAACATTGACAAACAACAATGAGTAACTTGGCAAAATGGTTAACCAACATGTCACACAATTCATTTACTTAATAAATGTGCAGGTTGTACCACATCTGCCATTATGCTCATTCAGCAAGTGACCCTGATTAATAAAAGACATCCAAGGGGATAAATAATTTGAAGCATTGAACTACAACTAGCTGTGAATGCTGGGTACATCTAGGAAACACTGCTAAAATACCTATGAACAATTATAGAGATGATTTGCTATGACAATACACGTGAATATACAGTATATATATATATATATACTATTGTACTTATATTTATGTATACAATACATAAATACACACATATACACTTGGAAAACAATCCTAACAGGCAAAATCAGTTGGTTCAGATGTAGACCTGTTTTGATGGTAAGGCAAATATTGAACCCTCTAAAGATGGAATAAATCTAGTGACATGAAACTACTTTATCCTAATATGGGTTAAATTGCATAAATAATATGACAAGAGTTAGTTTAGCTTGTACCTACTAGGTTAGTGCTGCAAATTTTAAATGCTGACCATGATTAAAGGAATTCTAGTATGCTCAGTCATCTTCAATTTTATTACTGTATTCAGAAATTTTGCCTATTTGGAACATTAAAATAATGGATTCTCTCTCTCTCTCTCTCTTTCTATTAAATGACATGATGTCTTTTATGACTACATATTTCATTAAATGAGTAATACAGGAAATCAAAAATGTAAATCATTGATATATCGTACATATAGTCATCTTTCTTTAATTCAAAAATATTACATTACCTTAACTCCTTCTGGATCCACTGGTCACGCTGCTCCTTAGATGTGAACTGACTACCTCGGCCCTGCTTGGCATAAAGCTCTTTCCGTTTCTGATCTTTCATGGACAACCTATAGAAAAAATTAAGTTCATGAGAAATAAATCACTGAAAATTCAGGTAAGCACTAATATGTTGTTACGAGTCCTTTATTCAATTAAAAAAAAGTCAACCCCTTAACACTTTCACGCCCCGGGCGTGCGCACCGCAATTTTGACGCCATGCCCCCGGCAATGCGAGCATGCGTGCAGGCAAGTGCGCGGCAACACCGAAATGCGTACAGTATACTCGTTTCAGTTTTCTCACCTTAATTCTTGTGCTATGTCGTTTATTTTGGTATCATTGTGTTCGCAATAGAATTCCCTACAGGTGTATATGCATATAATGTCCAAAAGCTCGGCGTGACTCCCCGTAGCAAAGTCGTGGAGAGTCGGCAAAAGTTACCTGTGAGAGCACAAAAATCAGTAAAATAATGTGTATACTCGTTTCAGTTTTCTCACAGTAATTCTCGTACTACGTCGTTCGGTTTAGTATCATTGTGTTCGCAATTAAATTCCCTGTTGGTGTATATGCATATAATGTCCAAAAGCCCGGCGTGACTCCCCGCAGCAAAGCCTAAAGTTACCCATGAATGAGCACCAATTTGCACACCGCAGCCTAATGCGTATACTCGTTCAGTTTGATAACATCAATTTTCGTGTTGCGTCTTTCATTTTGGTATCAAATTGATCGCAATCTAAAGGCGTGCATTTTAAAACTAGTCCCATAATAATAGCACAATAAATAGAATTTTAACAAATATTTTAAAATTTTGACCAAAAACGTATTTATAATCTTTCAAGAGGTCTGACATCAAGTATCGTGTTACATCTTTCATTTTGGTATCAACTTGTGTGCAATTTAAAGGCGCTTATTTTAAAATCACTCTAAGATTGATCAGATAAAATTAAAATTTTAAACAAATATTTTAAATTGAGGACGCCGCTCGTATTACCGGCTAGGACTCGAGAGAAAAATTGGGGACGCCAGGGGCGTTTCAAGAGTGCGAAAGTTTTAAAAACAAAAGAGAAATGGAACTTTGATGAAACACAATGTTGAGGCCTAAAGGGAGTTTTAAACAATTATAGAGCTGAATAAAGCATAAGTGCTGACAATTGTCAACAAATACCCATATGACAGTACTTTAATTGTAGATAACATTTCACCTGTAAGGGTTTAATCAAATATAACCCTTACTGGAAAGATGTGATAGACAAAGTTACTCTCATATTGTTCTTTCTCCCCAAGTGGAGCAAGTACAATGTGCATAGAAAGTACAGTGAGTACAGTGTGAGGAAAGGCTTACAATTTATACGTTTACATATTCATACACAGCACATGTCCATCATGAGGTAATGAGAGATTGGGAGAGAAAAATAGTAGTCATGTGGCACTACAACTAATCAACACACACAGTACTATCCTCTCACATAGTTACCATGGGTCACATAACAATGTAGGGATGAGCAATACCAACCTTTGGTGGCTGGGAAAGAATTTCATACAAGACATTTCTTGTAAATACAAAATAATATACTGTATGGTATCCTCATCATCGCATATATTAATTACATAGTTATTCTCCCCATTCCAATAAACATTACAAACAATAATGTGTATAATTAATTCTTTATGCATTATTTAAAAAAAATATGTAATATAATAGTCAAGGAATCTTATATATCGGCCATGCAGCCCATTCTATTGTAAATTCATGGCATTAACTCAGTTCTTTCCTCAATTATTTTGATCCACTTAATTTTTGTTACTGTATATTTCATTAATTGGAGTTTAAAAGACGAGTGCTAGCAGAAGTGCTTTGGTTATACCAATTAAGAAGAGAGCTGTGATAACATAGAAGTAAATGCAAAATGCAGTAAATTGAGAAAAGTGGGGTTGATGGCAAGAGGAGTTTGATATTTGTACAAGTATACTTTCTAGTATATAATCAAAGAATGAGTATTTAAATGAGACTGCTTTTAAGTGACTTATGCAGAAAGAGAAAGACAAAGGTCATGTATTTCTATACCCATCTGTGGGACAAAAATTAAGTGATAGAATGAAAATAAAAATGAGATTACAAGAGAATGAAGACAGTAAGATAATGAGAGGGTAAAAGAAAGCTTTCTTTCTCCCTCTAGTTCCTTGACAAGGAACAATTGGCATCATAGCTGGCAGAGTGCATTAAATTAATATATTACTGTACTATATTTGTAAAACTTACTCGTGCTGTGCCTCATCCTCCCGACCTTTCATTTCTTCATACTGTGGTCTAATGGCCTCCAATTCTGCCTCTTTCTGGGAAATAGTACTTCGAAGCTTTTGCAATTCTTTCTCTGCCCTTTCCTTTGATTTGTTGTCTCCTTGAACTTCATCTGTCAAGTCTTTTATTGTGAATTCCAATTTTGTCTTCTCTTTCAGAAGTTGTTGTTGCTCCATATTGTATGTGTCTCTTTCTTCTTTTACCTGTAAGAGATTAAAGACAAAACTCAAAATTCTGTAATACATGAGAAAACAACTTGAACTATAATATCTATTACATACAACACATACAAGTAAGTATGTACCTGCCATATTTGCCTTTGTATAAGAAAAAAAAAGATTCCTTACATTCAATAGGCCTGTTTTGTATTACAGATGGAAGAAGTACAACTAGACTATCTACAGTGAACTGTGGTGACTAGAAGTCCACCGAGTACAACAAATGTATTATAAACTATATAGAATACAGAGCAATGGCATTAATCCAAAAGCCCATTATGGTCAAAAGTAATACTGTACAACTTTTATCAGCCAAAGACACTATGGTAAGTGAAGTGTTTACCAGACAAGCTCCACCATCCTTGCCACTGTGTTGTCCCTTTTTAAATTCTAGTCACATCCCATTCATATTGACTAATAAGTGCAAAATGAGAAGTGGCAGTGAGCAAAGTCCCCATCCTTTGGTTGCAGGAAGATGCAGCAAATGTGGCAAGTACAGTACTAGTTTTTGTGGCAAGTGGCTTGGGAGTGGCAGTCAGTAATTAATGAAGCCCATCAGGATTTTGCTTGAGAAGGGGTTAGTGACCAGCTAATGGTGTAACTTAAATATGGAGGATTATTTACATCTGAGCAGAAAATAATTGTCAAACGGCAATATTTTGGCACAATGTTAAGAATGAAATTGAAAATTGTATAAAACTGTAAATGTATTTTCTGTGAACTATAACAACAATTTTAAAATTAATTTTAATACCGTACATGTACAGTATTATGAAAAGTATAAAAAAAAATGTAAATTTGGGATGCATCTAACATTATAGTGCATCTCTTACACCAAAAACCAAAGTAATACTAGTGGTCACAATTGCCATTTTATATTAAAAATTTTAAAACAAAAACTAACCTGTGACAGCTTGGACTTCACATCCTTCATATCCTTTGACAGTGTCTTAATGGATTCTTGAGATTTTTGCAGCTGCTGTCTAAACTGCTCTTGCTCAGCACCAGAGTTTTTTCGCTGATTTTCCATCTGTATTAAGAACACATTTGATACAGATAAAGAAATGTGTTTTATATAACAGGAGAAGAGTAAACACAGATCTACTGTGCAAAATTAAACAACATAGTTTGTCACTCTGTATGTTCCATCTGCAGGCTCGGCTTGTTTAAAAAGAGTGATTCTATGTACTGTAGTACTCTATTTTCCTTAGAAATTTCAACAACTATAAAGTATTCAACTAATCAAGTACACAAAAACTCAAACTCATCACAGTAAACATTATGATTTATAAGCTGATCTTCATCAATTCATCAAAAAGATTAATTAATACATTTATCTAGATTAAACAACAAAATTAACAAATCTTTAAAAGCCCACTCCTTCCACACATCTTATGAATTGTTACTCACTTATTTGTGCCTGCAGGTTCAAGCACTGGTTCTTGTATCCAGCCTATTTAGCCACCGGTTGTTTCAAGCAATGACTCCTGTCTTACTTTCCTATCATATCTAGTTTTAAAACTATGAATAGAGTTTGCTTCCACAATATGCCCCTTTAGTTCACTCCATTTTCCCACTACTCTCACATTAAAAGAAAATACACACTGTGTGTGTGTTTTACTCACATCTGTCAACTTCTTTCTAGTCTCTTTGAGCTCTCTGTCATGAATTGTGTATTCCAGTGCCCTACGCATCTTGTCATACTTCTGGTACTCTTTCAGCTCTTCTTTTTCTTCTTCTAATGTCTGCAATCTGTCCTCAATTGTCCGAAGGAATTCTTCAATTTTTTCCCGCTTACTTTGTGTTTCTGTGGGTGAAGACAAGCAAGTGAAATCCAAAGCATTCATCAAATGCCTTCTTTCATAGAAAACTCATCACTACATACAAACAATATCAAACACACTTCTCTCAGATATAATGAAATAAACCAAGTTTTATGTAAAGATAGGGTCAACCCATCTTCCTGAAATGATAATACTTACAGTACCTATTTAGTCAACAGTACCAACATGTAGTGATGGACCACCAAAAACTTCAGTTTAGTACTTTTAATTTTAGTCTGACAAAAATAAAGTTAGGTTAGGTTCCATATTTACGTTCTATAATGTTAAAAAAAAAAAAGTTTCCAAATTGACTAAATAAAATAATACAAAACATCAACTGTTGGAAGTTCATCACTACATATTGGTACCTTCGACTAAATAGTTACTATAAATACTATAATTTTAGGAGGCTGGCCTGCATAGAGCACTCATTTCAAATATTTAAACAAAATTGTAAATGAGTGAATCAATGATGGAGCAGCTGCAAAATAATTAGTGCACAATTTACCTTTAAGAATAACCTTAGACTCTTCTCTTCTTTCGTCATACACGCGGGTTCCAGCAACTTCTCTTAGTAACTTTAATCTTTGGGAGTCAGGAGCTGTTGCCATCTGGTTAATCTTACCCTGAAAAACATGAGCAGCATTAATGCCATTTTAAGGCTTTACTGCAACTTTTGATAATACAATAATATCCTGTGCAATACATGCCTGTGATTAACTAATAAATCTTATGATTCAATTGCAATTCAACTACCTGTTTGACAATGTAATATGGGTTTGATCGTGAGAACCCTGCAGATTCTAGAAGATTCATCACATCAAGCTTGGTAACTGCTTTTCTGTTAAGAAAGTACTGATCTTTCTTGGCACCAATAACACGACGCAAGCACACCTCATTCTTATCAATCTGAAAAATAACACAAACTGAGTAAGTTTTGATTAGAGCCATTTAAGAGGGATATCATCAGCCATCATATTTCAGTCCACAAAATAAGGACAAATTTTCCAAAACAAAGTATTAATTTAAATTTATCATATGATGGATATTTGATATTTTATACCAGGAAACCATGTCTATAAAAAAATTTCACTTCTGAATTATTTCTTACAAATTTATGCAAGCTACTAATTTTTTCATTTTAACTGCAGTACTGTATATTTTGTGCACATACCCATGTAGATCACCCAACAGCACCTTGATGTTCAAATTTATATATAATCCACAGCACTTAAGAAAAGCTTAACGGCACAAGATCTAAACTAAAATGAAATTCGTTATGCCAGCTGCTTATTTACAATGAACTTGCTGATAACGAAAATTTATTATAAACTGATATTAAATTAGAAACAAAATTGCTATTTGAAATTCCAATAGTGTAACAACTAAATCAAATACTTACTGGTATCCTGCCATCAGCATTGTCAAAGATGATCTCCACAAAAGCAGAAATAACTCTGGGACCAGTACCCTCATGGAGGAGGGCCTGCCGCTGCTCGGCTCGAAGGTGATTGAATTCATCACTTAGTACAAACTGGATGGCTAAAAGAGAAAAATATACTTATAAACACAATAACCCACAGGTGACGGCTGATGTCGCATGTTATTTTGGTTCATCTGGGGTGAAGCCAGCAAAGGTAATGAAGGTTTCACAACTAAAATTTACCCATCAATTAACACTTTCGTGTTCTTGGCGTACGCACCCCAGCCTACCCCGTGTGCCGAGCGTTTCGCGTGAACGCGCGGCCACACTGAAATGTGTACTCTCTTCAGTTTCCTCACCTCAATTTTCGTTGTACGTCATTCATATTGGTATCAATTTGTTCGCAATAGAATTCCCTACAGGGGGTATATGCATATAAGATTAAAAACCTTGGCGCCCCCCCCCCCCACCCTGCAGCAAAGTCGAAAGTCGGCCAAGCGTTACCCGTGAGCGAGCACCCATTGGCACACCAGCAACACCCACACACACAAATGTGTATACTCTCTTCAGTTTGAAAACATCATTTTTCGTGTTACGTTGTTCATTTTGGTATCGAAGTGTTCGCAAACAAGGTCCAAAAGCCCGGTGTACCACCCGCACCAAACCCAAAAATCGGGCGAGCGTTACCTGTGAGCGTGAAACAGCAATAAAATGTGTATACTCATCAGTTTTCTCACTTCAATTTTCATGCTACGTCATTCATTTTGGTATCAATTTGTTTGCAATACAATTCCCTACAAGGGTATATGCATATAAGGTCCAAAACCCTACCCCCCCTACCCCCGCACACAAATGTGTATACTCTTTTTCAGTTTGATAAGATCAATTTTTGTGTTACTGTACGTCGTTATGCACATTTTAAAATCCATCCCATAATGATCGGTTAAAAAATTTAATTTTAACAAATATTTTAATTTTAGACGCGACATGCATCCCCACCGGACATCCATAAATTTATTTATGGATGCAGAATGCGTCACTGCCGAACGGAAGTGTTAATCTGCGCAACATAACTAGAGATGTTCATAATCAGCAAAATGCTAATTATGTGTAAACTGCACGATGTGGACCGAGATGTTTTAAAGTAACACTTAAGATTTAAAACTCATGCAGGTACATGGGGCTTAATCAGCTTCCTGAGGCCTCAAGTAAACAGATGCCATCTTGGAAAAATTCGTGGGCACCCCTCCTGGGTGTGAAGGCCTCAATATTGATAAAGTTACCATAAGAGCGATAAAAGTGACCATACAGTAATATATTCAATATGTGCAGTTACAAATTCATGCAAAATACACAGGGCTACCTTGCTACCTTGAGGTGCTTCCGGGGCTTAGTGTCCCCGCGGCCCGGTCGTCGAGCAGGCCTCCTGGTTGCTGGACTGATCAACCAGGCTGTTAGACGCGGCTGCTCGCAGCCTGACGTATGAGTCACAGCCTGGTTGATCAGGTATCCTTTGGAGGTGCTTATTCAGTTCTCTCTTGAACACTGTGAGGGGTTTGCCAGTTATGCCCCTTATGTGTAGTGGAAGCGTGTTGAACTGTCTCGGGCCTCTGATTTTGATAGAGTTCTCTCTCAGAGTACCTGTTGCACCTCTGCTTTTCAACGGGGGTATTCTGCACATCCTGGTCCCAAACCTGTGTGCAGGTTTGGGACCAGCCCCTCAATTATTTTCCACGTGTAAATTATTATGTATCTCTCCCGCCTGCGCTCAAGGGAGTACAGATTTAGGCTCTTTAGTCGGTCCCAGTAATTTAGATGTTTTACTGAGTGGATTCTAGCAGTAAAGGATCTCTGCACGCTCTCTAGGTCAGCAATTTCTCCAGCTTTGAAAGGGGCTGTCATTGTGCAGCAGTACTCCACTCTAGAGAGCACAAGCGTTTTGAAAAGTATCATCATCGGTATAGCATCTCTAGTGTGAAAAGTTCTTGTTATCCAACCTGTCATTAGGATGAACTGTCATTAGGATGAAGGGCTAGGATGAACTCTGATACTCGTTGCAGGTTACACCAATCAGAACTGCTTAATGGGTATACAGTACTGTATATAAAATGTGTAACACTGTAACAACAGCAAAAGTGGTAAGTTTTACTGTTCTAAGAATATAATACAGAGCACAAATTGGTGATATGAATATATTTGAGCATCCCAATGTTCCACATATTTTGTTATATAGATTTCTCAACTGACACACTTATGTCGCACATAATGATGACCAAACCACAACTCAGAAGATTGAGAAGCGACGACACCTCGGTTCATCCTGGACCAATATCAAGTCATGTGATAGATGGACTCGCAATGAAATTCCCAACACGGTGATATGAATATAAGCGTAGAATAATGATTGCGGCCCGCCCGCAAGAGTGTGGGAAGTGGTGAAATTGTTACCCGGTGTCGGTGACGGGACGACACACGGCGCTTTGAAAGTTTATACTTATTTCATTCAACAAAGCGTAAGGCTCATTCATTGGCTCATTCTCAACAATGTTAACACTTTCGCGGGATGAGGACGCACCCCGGAGTCCTGTTTCGCCTACCCGCTCCCGCATAGTGGACATAAACTTATGTCCTCTTTTAAAATATTTGTATAAAATTAAATTTTTATCCGATTTACTTTGGGTTTGTTTCAAACTGCGCGCCATGAGGCTCTCTTTCTCACCAATAGGCTGCATGGTACAATAAGTTCATGAAAGGTTCACAAACATAACAAAAGTAAAAACATTTCGTGTGTGTTTGACTCTCACTGATATGTTCCAGCGTTGTTTTATATTTGGCGCTATTCTATCTTACGCTTTGTTGATCTTTTTTACCTACGGGCTCATAGAACATTCTATTGCGAACACATTGACCCAAAAATGAATGACGTACATAGAATAATAATGTCATGAGAATGAAATAAGTATAAACTTTCAAAGCGCCATGCGTCGTCCCGTCACTGACACCGGGTAACAATTTCACCACTTCCCACACTCTTGCGGGAGGGCCGCAATCATTATTCTACACTTATATTCATATCACCGTGTTGGGAATTTCATTGCGAGTCCATTGATACCAAAATTAACACTGTAGGACAAGTGTGGAGGTGATAACAATCCCAAGAGTAAAAACATTTTGTTGCTGTTGGGCGCTCACGGCGAGTCATCTTCGTAGTTATTTATTTGGTGCTGGTATCCCTATAGCTTTCGTGACTTTTTTTACTGATGTTCTTCTAGAGAATTTTATTGCGAACACGTTGGTACCAAAATGAAATACGTAGCATGAGAACTAAGGTCAGAAGAGTAAAAAGAGTATACACATTTTTGTTTTTACGCTTAAGCGATAAAAACGCCGCACGCACATACGGTTGTTTCCCTGACCTTCGCCGAGAGCGCAAAAGTGTTAAGAGATCCATCTGTACCAGGAATACCTAATACAGAAACATTATCATTAGGCTATGCTGCTCAATAACAACAGGCACCATGAATGCCTGTTCACCTTTAACCATGAATGTTAATAGTTTCAAGATTTTTTAACAAGGCTCTTAAAATACTGTATTCCATGTGGAGTGTGTGGAGTGGAAGGACAAGAAGAATAGAAGAAAACTGCAATAAGGTTACACTGCTAGATTTTAACTTCAAGTGCTACAAGTGTCAATACAATGAAATGCTGAACAAAAACCTGTCAAGAGACAGAAAATATATGCATGACAAAATAATAAAGTATTCCTGCTGAGGAGAATACTTATAGCTGACTTACCATAGAAGAAGTTACTCTTGCCAGAGCCATTTCGACCAACTGCAATATACAAAACAAGTCAATACTATACATATAAAGGAGCATTATATAAAATTCACACTACTGTTGCCAGATCTCATTACTATATATCCCAAAGTATAGTAGATGTAACAATACATACCAAAGACTAAACGACACACCAGAAAATGAAATGATGTTCCAGTCCATCCGTAACCATTATCAAGTCGATTGTCATTATATACAATGATGATAATGGTCCAGGACAGACCTAAACTGTCATCCACTCATTTTCTGGTTTGTGGTTTAGTCTTCTTATCTTAAGCCACGTTATTGTGACTCGTCGTCTGAATACATACCGACTACATTGTGCCGAGGGTCAAAAGGGTCTATGACAGTCTGCTCTCTGTAACTCTTAAATCCTTGGATAATAATCTGAAAAAAATAACAAAGCAATTACAGTACTACAAATTTTAGAAAAAATAAACAATCATTATAATAAGACATCACATGGTTTTCCATGAGAATGTGCAAATGGATAGCTGGATACAGATGGATGGACATATTCATAAAAAGGTGAGTAGGAAGATCGATAGATGGCTTGATAAATGGATGGATAGATAAATACAGATAACTGGATAGAAAGACAGATGGATAGACAGATTGCTGGATGGAAAGCTAGATGAATAGATGGATAACTGGATAAAAAGCTAGATGGATAGACAGATAGCTAGATAGAAAGCTAGATGGATAGATGGATAGCTGAATAGACAGATAGCTGGATAGAAAGCTAGATGGATACATTAATAGATAGAAGGATGCACAGATGGATATGTGGATGGATAGATGAATTGATAGTGATGGATAGATGGATGGATGAATAGGAGAATGAGTAGATGGATGACAGTTGGAACAAGTTAGGGGGGTAAGTAGTGGTGGCCAAAACTGTCAGTAGTTTCAAAGCCTTATATGAGTGCTGGGAAGACGGGACACTACAAGCATAACTCTCATCCTGTAACTACACTTAGGTAATTACATATGCACAGTACAACCTTGATTCAATGAACCATATGGGACCCACCCCAATTCGTTGAAGGGATTCGTTGCAACTGGAGATGCCTCCATGATGCATTTCCCATGCCCTGTGGGATAATTTCACTTAGCAAAATTTTCATTCCACCCTACATTATGACAAACAACTAGCAAGTGAGCGTGTCTGCAAAGAAGTTTAACGACATCTAGCTTACCTCTCATATAACCAACCTAACAACACATTTTCAAAAGATAATACTGTAGAGCCAAACCTGAGTGAACGAAAACCTTCCCAACGTAAAATAAAAACCATGGAATTCAATTTTAAATATACTCAATTTCCCAAGGCCCCCAACTGTTTCTTGAAATGTTGCATCCATCTACGAAAACCATTAAAACCATCACTGCAGCCATATTAATTAAGAGTTACTAATCATACCCTAATATTGTTCACATTCTATAGGCTCACTGAGCAAAATTTTGATTTCAGCCTGTCATATGAATGACAACTACCAAGAGAACCTTTCTCTAAAAAAGATTTAACTACATCTTGCATATTTTCCACACCCTTGCCTTAAAGCCTCATTTAAAAAAAAAAAGTACCCATACTTGTCAACAAAAACTGGGGTATCTCAAAATGGAAACAAACCATAGAAAATTTTGTTTTAAATATGCTCAATGGCTTTCCCAAGGCACTAAACTGTTTCTTGTGATGTTACCTCCATATGTGAACTCTGTCCCAACATCCTGAACAAATCCACAAGTCCCCTGCTTCAGTGAACTCAGTGGACGAACACTTGTTCGTCCAATCAGGTGAATAAATCCGGCATGGAAAGTGTTCCAAACAAAGATTCGCCGAATCAAGCTTTGTTGAACCAAGGTTCCACTTTATTGGTACCTTGGTAATTCCTTTACCTAATCCATCGCTACTGCTATTATTTACCAATTTAGCTCCAAATTCATACTGTTTTTGTCCAATGTTTTAAATTACTTTAAAATCTCAAAACAAACTATTTTATAAATGTTGAATGTTATATTTTGTGAATATATCTCAAGGAATAAGTTTTAAATGTGCTTTTTTTTTTATCAGGGGAAAGTGCCAAACCATTACAACTTTATAGAACTCGGAAGGGGACAGGATGAGGATTTGTGATGGGACGGGGGGGGGGGGGGGGGAGAGAAATGGTCCTGAACCACTTGGAAGGTCGGGGATTGAACGCCGATCTGCATGAAGCGAGACCGTCGCTCTACCGTCCAGTCAAAGTGGCTGGTTAAATGTGCTGATTAAGGTTACAAGACCAAACACAGTAAATTTCTGAAATAAAACATTTGTCCATACTATTCCCTCATTTATTCTTGCCTATAAATATTCTTTATATTGAAGAATATACTCAATGCCTCAGTTATACTGTATCTGAATAAGCTTCCAACACCCTTCCCTTTATTTGCTACTTTTATGACCTACTTACACGTTTTCCTTCAGTTTTGCCTTCAAAATCTCACTAGATGTAGTTTTAAGACATACTAATTAATGTTGCAAGATCAAAAGGGAGAGTTCTTAATTTTTTTTTTTTTTTTACTATTCCCTCAGTTGGAAGTTTGAAAAAAAAATCTTTTTTAGCAGATTTGTACACCACGATACTTCACAATATTAATATATATCAAGATTTAATGTTAATGTATAGTTAATGTATATATATTCGGTTTTAAAATCCACGCGTATTTCCTCTCGCCAATATGCCAAAATAGGCATAGGAAAAAGACAGCACATAAGACCTACAGTTGTCCGGTCACTCGTGTGATTTGCCCCGCCCAGCTATACCCTTTGTTTATTCTAAGTAATACAGCAAGCACACTCACTTGTCTAATGTACATGGTGATTCTCCGTTCGCTTTACAACCATAATTTCACACACACGCACCATATTACAGCAAAATGCTACGTAATTGACAACATTGTGTGGGAATGCCAAGAGCAAGGGACGCCGCTGGGGACGCAGAAGATGGCGGTAACGGTGTATAGAGGCGAGGGTCGGGGCGGCGGCGCCTCCCTGAGAGACAAGTAAGCATCGTGTGTTCTGCCATATCTACTCCAAATCTCCTCCTTACACACACATAACACATTCACCGCCTATTCCTCTCTCACAATAACACGCAAACTTATATTTATTGATCAATAAGCTACTCCTTTGTTGTTATTGATACCACGTTTGTCCATATATGTGAAATGTTTCTTATGTTTAGCATAATGTGATGCTCAAGGCACCAACACACCCTGGTACACCATACATAACGCTTCCAGACTGTATCCAGAAGTAGCATCTGCACACCTCTCGTCCCATACCATTGGGTTACTATCCATGGTCTCACACACCATCATGGGGTCAATATCATTTATTTATTTTATTTATTTATTTGTGCATATACAAGAATGTACATAAGGAATGTGAGGATACAAATATGGTAATTACAGTCTTGTAAAGCCACTAGCACGCGCAGCGTTTCGGGCAGTCATTGGTCTCCCACACCATTGTGCGGTCAATATCCTTGATCTCTCAGGACACCAGGGTCGCCATGCATTCATGGCCTAAAATTGCACCAGAGTCCTCGGGGTCACCATCCATGCCTCTCACCTCACCGGGATTATTTATGGCTTCTCATCACACTAGGGTCCTCGAGGTCACCATCCAAGACCTCTTACCACGCTGGGGTTCAAGTTCAAGTTTAAGTATGTTTATTGAGACAAGAAAGAAATACATCTCAAAGGGATAGAGTAGCTTAGGCTATTTCTATTCCCCCCCCCCCCACGCTGGGATCCATGGGGTCATAAATACGGGATCATCATCATTGGCCTCTCATCACACAGGGATCATCATTCAAGGCCTGTCATGGTCACCATGCATGCATGGCCTTCCCCAACACCAGACTCCTCGGGGTCACCATTGTTGGGAAATCAAGGAATCATGTTACCTGAATTTACCTGAGGACCACTAGTCCAACCACTTGGGCTGGAGGTAGAGCAATGGTCTTTCTTCATGCAGGTCGGCGTTCAATCCCCGACCGTCCAAGTGGTTGAACATCATTCCTTCCCTCCCTGTCCCATCCCAAATCCTGATCCCTTCCCAGTGCTATATAGTCTTCATGGCTTGGCGCTTTCCCGACAATTCCCTTCCCTTTCCTTCCCTGAGGGCCACTAACACTAGTGTCCTCGACGAAGACAGGAAGCCGGAGGCTTGTCGAAGGTTCCCCCCCCCCCATTTGCTTAGAGGCTTACAGAAGGGTCTCTTAGGCCGCCAACAGCTGTCCTCTCTTAGGATGTACCTCATAAGGATGATCCTCATGAGGATGTACCTCATCTTCATTAATGACCTTCCAAATGCCTCCCAACACCTCAAACCTATTCTATTTGCTGACGACACAACCTTCATTTACTCCAGTCCGGACCCCCTTGCTCTAAATACCATAGTAAATACTGAGCTAAATAAAGTCCATCTGTGGCTAACTGCCAACAAACTCACCCTTAACATTGACAAAACTTTCTATATTCTGTTTGGCAATAAATCCTCTAATCAAATAAATCTCAAAATAAACAATACCCAAATTTGTAACAAATTAGATGGAAAATTCCTTGGCATTCTCATTGATCACAAGCTGAATTTCCAGGGACACATTCTGAATATATCAAAAAAAGTTTCAAAAACTGTTGGCATTCTTTCTAAGATCAGATATTATGTACCCCGCCCTGCCCTGGTTACTCTCTATTACTCCCTCATCTATCCATATCTCAACTATGGTATTTGTGTTTGGGGTTCTACTACCCAAAATCATTTACGTCCTCTAACTACTCAACACAAAGCTGCTATTAGGACAATATCCAACTCTAGTCCCAGACATCACTCGGTACCCCTACTCAAATCTCTGAATATGTTAGATATTAAGTCACTGCACATTCTCTCTTGTGTATTATACATATATAAAACGCTGAACTGTAATGCCAATCCTGACCTCAAAAGCTTCATTGAAGGTTGTAACAGAACCCATGAGCACCACACCAGAAATAAATACAGTTTTGATATTCCAAGAGTACGACTTAATCAAACTAGAAATGCTCTACAAATCAAGGGACCCAGAATGTGGAATGATCTTCCCAACCATGTTAAAGACTGTACCTCTCTCAACCAGTTTAAGATAAAAACTAAACACTACCTAATAAATTCCCTGTAACCTACCTTACCCCTCTATTGTCAACCCATGTCTGCTATTTTTTTTTTAATCAACACTGTTTGTCAACCTATTGTATTTGTGCTGCTTTTTCAGTCATGTTCCCCCTATTTTTTATCTTTATTTGTATTTGTTCTCAACACATTTTATTCTTTATGCTCAATTAGTATTAAGTTCTACATATTAATGTTTTTCCTGCCCGAAACGCATTGCGTAATAGTGGCTTTAGGCATTGTATGTACTAGCTCTATCTATATATCGATCCATTAATGTAACATTACTTGTATGTATGTACCTTACCTGAATAAACATATATATATATATATATATATATATATATATATATATATATATATATATATATATATATATATATATATATATATATATATATATATATATATATATATATGTCGTACCTAGTAGCCAGAACTCACTTCTCAGCCTACTATTCAAGGCCGATTTGCCTAATAAGCCAAGTTTTCATGAATTAATGTTTTTTCGTCTACCTAACCTACCTAACCTAACCTAACCTAGCTTTTTTTGGCTACCTAACCTAACCTTACCTATAAATATAGGTTAGGTTAGGTTAGGTAGGGTTGGTTAGGTTCGGTCATATATCTACGTTAATTTTAACTACAATAAAAAAATTGACCTCATACATAGAGAAAAGGGTTGCTTTATCATTTCATAAGAAAAAAATTATAGTAAATATATTAATTCAGGAAAACTTGGCTTATTAGGCAAATTGGGCCTTGAATAGTAAGCTGAGAAGTGAGTTCTGGCTACTAGGTACGACATATATATATATATATATATATATATATATATATATATATATATATATATATATATATATATATATATATATATATATATATATATATATATATAATTATCGCCAAATTCACCGGTACCTATTTAATACTTGGTAACCAAAGTCATAATTAATAATAATAATTTAGACAAAAGTATACACATTTGTAGCAAGTAATATACTTGTACTTGCTCCATATTCCAATTAGCTTATCAAAAGTCAAAATCAAATCAAAATGTTTACTTAGGTAAAAGTACATACATAAAAGATGAATTACAAACATAATGTTGGATTTATAGATAGAGCTAGTACACACAATACCGAAAGCTCCTAATACGCATAGCGTTTCGGGCAAGGTGTGAAAAAAAAACACTTAGATTAAAGATTAATACTAATTGAGATTAAAGTATAAATTGTGCAGAAAATGGAAAAAAGGTGGTGGGGGGGGAACGTGGCAGAAATCTGCAATTATACAACTTGGTCAACAAACTGTATTGTTTGAAAATAGCAAGACATGGGTTGACAATTTGGGGGTAAGATAGGTTACATGGAGTTTATTAGGTAGTACTTAGTTTTTCTCTTAAACTGGTTGAGAGAGGTACAGCCTTTGACATGATTGAGGTCATTCCACATTCTAGGACCTTTGATTTGGAGAGCATTTCTCCAAGGTTCCAAGCATTTCTCTGAGGCTCCTGTACTCGTCCTAGGCGATTAGTGTGTTAGTAGCCCTCAGGTAAATATAATTATAAATATATAAATATATTTAGGTTAAGAATCCCTGAATATGCCTAATATACTGGGATCGGCGAAACATGGGGGCCAGGAAAAAGATAATGGACGAGGAATTTCATCTCCCAGGGTATCACACCAGAATGAACAGAACAAGAGCGCAGGAGGCATAATACTATACAGTATACATAAAAGAGGACTTGACTACAATCAACAATGATTATCAAATAACATGGAATGCTTAGAATCTGTACGTTGCAATATGATAGCTAGAAATAGTTGAAAAATGGGAGTAATTAAGTGTTATAGAGCACAGCAACCGCAAAGGAATTTAAATCATAATTTAAAGGCTGCAACTGAAGCACATTTATGGGCTCACTATAGCCCGTGCTGCATGGACACTTCGTTCTGAGTAGCTAAATCTAAAACAACAACATGAAGCACATGCTATTATAACGGTGGATTTTAATCACGAGACATTAGACTGGTTGAATCTAACATAACAGAAGGAAAACAGTTTCTTTGTGGAGATTTACTTATAACTGAACAAACCATAGGGAACAAAGCCACTCGGGTTACTGTATTAAAGCATGAAGACCTCATCTTTAGAAAGACATAGCTGCTTTGGAAAAAATTCAACATCTGGCAGCAAAAATTTTCCAGAACTAAGTTGACTCTCATACCAGGATTCACCCACATGGTTATAAACCCATGGAACGGCTTACCCCGCCGAAATCGTAAATGCCAAGACTGTTGAATTTCAAATTCGAACTGGAAACGATTATCAAATCAAATAAAATGTTTATTCAGGTTAAAGTACATACATACAAGATGAGTTACAAACATAATGTTGGATTTCTAGACAGCACATATTAGCATCGTATGCTAATACATACGATGCCTAAATAAACCACTAATACGCACAGGGTTTCGGGCAAGGTGTGTGGGAAAAAACCACTAAAGACTAAATCTTAATACTAATTGAGATCAAAGCATAAATTTAGTTGAAAAAAAAGAACAAAAAGGCGAGGGGGGGGGGGAACATGGTGGAAATCAGTGATTATAAAAGTTGGTCAACAAACAATATTGTTTGAAAATAGTAAGATATGGGTTGACATTTAGGGGGTAAGGTAGATTACATGGGGTTTATTAGGTAGTACAGTACTTAGTTTTTCTCTTAAACTGGTTGAGAGAGGTAAAGCCTTTGACGTGATTGGGACGGTCATTCCACATTCTGGGTTCCTTGATATGCAGAGCATTTCTAGTTTGGTTAAGTCGCACTCTTGGAATATCAAATAGGTATTTGTTTCTGGTGTGGTGCCCATAGGTTCTGTTACAACCTTCTAGGACGCGTTTAAGGTCAGGATTGGCATTACAGTTTAGAGTTTTAAATATATAGAGTACAATTGAGAGGACGTGCAGTGACTTAATATCTAACATTCAAAGATTTAAGGGTACCGAGTGCTGTCTGGGGCCAGAGTTTGATATTGTTCTAATAGCAGCTTTGTGTTGAGTAATTAGAGGACGTAGATGATTTTGGGTAGTAGCACAAATAACAATTGAGATAGGGATAGATGAGGGAGTAATAGAGCGTCACCAGGGCAGAGCGAGGTACATAATATTTGATCGTAGAAAAAAGCCAACAGTTTTAGAAACTTTTTTGCTGTATTTTGAATGTGGCCCTGGAAATTCAGCTTGTTATCGATGAGAACACCAAAGAATTTACCATCTACTTTGTTACTAATTTGGATATTGTTTATTCCTAGATTAATTTGATCTGAGGATTTATTACCAAACAGAATATAGAAGGTTTTGTCAATGTTAAGGGTGAGTTTGTTAGCAGTTAGCCAAAAATGGGCTTTATTTTGTTCAGTATTCACTTTATCATTCAGAGTAAGAGGGTTAGGACTGGAGAAAATGAAGGTGGTGTCATCAGCAAATAAAATTGGGTTAATGTGTTGAGAGGCATTTGGAAAGTCATTAATGTAGATGAGAAAGAGGAGAGGACCAAGTATGCTGCCCTGTGGAACACCAATGTTGATGGGTAAGGTGGGAGAAATGGAATCATTCACAGAAACATACTGGAGCCTGTCACTAAGGTAAGACTGAAGGTATTGGAAGGAGTGACCCCTGACTCCATAATGATGTAATTTAAGAAGAAGGTTGTGGTGGTTGACAGTGTCAAAAGCCTTAAGTAGGTCAACAAATAACCAACCAGGGAACTCATTTGTATCAAAAGTTGCATGTATCAAGTTAATCATATTAATCAGTGCATCGTTAGTGCTTTTTTGGGATCTGAAGACATATTGGCAAGAGCTAAGTATATTGTGTTTGGCTAGATAAGAGTAAAGCTGCTTGTTGATTAGCTTTTCAAATATTTTTGAGAAGGTTGACAGAATTGATATAGGTCTGAAATTGTTGACATCAGTGAGATCACCACATTTATGGACTGGGGTTACTATCGCTTTTTTTTTAGAATATCCGGAAAGGTTTGGAGTTCAAGTGATTTGTTGTAGAGCAATGCAATAGCTGGAGCTAGAAATCTGGAGGCTTTTTTGTAAATTAGAGATGGTATCTCATCAAGGGCACTTGATTTTGTTTTAAGAGAAAGGGTTATCTCAATAACATCAGAGGAATTAGTGGGAGCTAGGTACCGAGACTCTGGATAGTTTCATGTAAGGTAGTCTTTAACATTAGTTAGGGAGGATGGGATATCATTTGCCAATGGATGAGAAGAAACTATTGAATCTAATAGCAGTGTCAGAGGCTGAAAGTACACCATCGTCATTGGACAGGAGTATTGTTTTTTTACTAAAAATCTTTTTTTATCCTAATATTTGGGAAATAGTGCTCCATGTTTTCTTAATGTTGCCCTTAATTTGGGTAAACTTATTTTCATAGTATTTTATTTTGGCTCTCCTAATTATTTTAGACAGCATTGATGAGTAAATCTTTGAAAATTCTTTGGAGACGACTCCTAACCTATACGTCTTCTCAAGGTCATGTTTTTTTATTAATAGATTTAAGTATACCTTTATTAATCAATGGATTGTTTAACCTTTAAGTTGTGATTGTTTCGTTAGCATTGGACAGTGGATATTACAGAGGCTCTGAGTTTTCCGAAGAAATGTTTGCACTGCTAGGTTGATGTTTACTGTGTTACCTAATTCAGTCTCCCAGTTGATATTAGCATCAGCAGCAACAAAGTTGCTTATAGAAGTTTCATTGTGCAGCCTAAAGCTTATTTATCAAGGCAAATGGGAGGACCTTCTAAAAGCTGCCGACTAACTGTCCTCGTCGAGGCCACTAGTGTTAGTGGCCCCTCAGGTAAATTCAGGTATGAATACATTCTGGCTGCCTGTCCCCCCCGACACATTGAGTTAAATAATTATTATTAAACTGAAGTAAGCACATGGAACTGCTTACCCGCTGCAGCTGTAAATGTCAAAACATTGCTGCTATCAGCTTGATAAAATTATCAGGACAAATATATTGGACCTTTTGAAAAGTCACCGGCTTCCTGTCTTCGTTGAAGCCACTAGAGAGATGATGCCCCTCAGGCAAATATATATGATGTGTACTGTACTCTAATAAACCCAATGTACCTTCTTGTATAAATAAATAAATAAATGTGAGAAAGTTTATACCGGCGGATGATGTTGTTTAGGTTGAAGGATTCAAAAAGAGCCATACGTTATGGTGTTCGACGTCATCACTACGCTTTAATAACTCCTATTCTATCCTGACCTAATGTAACCTAATGTAGCATAATATAATCTATCTTGATCTATTCCAACTTAACTTACCGAAAACAAGTTTTTTTTATATATATAATATTTTGTGAAGAGATGTGACGTCATAGGCTGGCCTTCGGGTGACATTTTTGGACACTAGTGGTGGACGGTGCCTAGAAGGTCCTACCACGGTGTCGTCTGGCTCTGCTACACAACCACATGATCTCCACCTGGTACAGCCAGGCTCTACCACACTACAACTCACCCAGAGTCACAGAAACTACCAGCACAGGTGCACGTGGCAAGCATAGTGGAGGAGCAACTCTTGGCCTGCGACACCACCACGCTGCAGGTCCAGGCGGCGAGCAGTCTTGGGTAAAGGCAGTATTGGCCCAGTGAGTGAAGCAGAGGAGTGATCTTAGTGACGTCTGCGGTAGAACACTTTCAAGATGAACATCCGTTGTGCTAAGGTTAGTCTCCGTGACTCGTGGAGGATGAAAACCTGACTGTCTTTTTGATCCCTGCTGAGACAATTTTTAATGACTGGCAATGGGACTGTGTAGTACAGTGGCCTATGTTCTCTACTACAGTCGTGGATACTGGGTTCGATACCCGGGTAGGTCAGAAATAGATGGGCACATTTTCTCTCGCCTGATGCCTCAGTTCACCTAGTAGTAAATAGGTACTTGGAAGTTTGGGAACTTATGTGGGTTGCATCCTGGGAAGGTCTGGACTTCTACTTGTAATATTTGTGGCGATAATTCTGGAACCCTTTCTGATAATATTATTGGAAAGGGTTACAACTGGCCTTACCTTGTGTCTACCTTGTGTAGCTTCCCGGGTTCACCAGCCCTGCGGCCCGGTCTCCAATCGGGCCTCTCGCATTACTACTACTAATAATAATAGATGATGTGCAAAAGAAACTTTTTTTTAAATATTAAATTTCCTGTACCTGTAACCCAGTGCTTCATTGGTCTGGTGCACAATCCATAGGATAGGTAAAGTTATACTGTACTGTATATAGGCTCTTGCTTTATCCCATAACTGTCATTAGAATGGATTTTCTCTTCCCTGCTAAGAGCGTATGCCATGCTAGTTCTGACTGGCTGAGAACATATATTTATATATATATATATATATATATTATATCTATATATATAATATACCATGCTAATTACAATTGATTGAGAGCTTATGCTGTACTAATTACAATTGGCTGAGAGCATATGTGGTGCTAGGTACGATTGGCTGAGTGTGTAGTATAGTACTCGCTCTATAAACTGAACAACCATCGGAGAAAATTTATAGTAACTATACACTACTGAATTATATGCATCATTATTTTGATTAGTGTGTTTTTTTTATTTAATGTAATTGGCAAAGATCAAACATTGTACCAATATTAATGGGGGGGGGGGCAACACCAAATTAGACATGCATGCTTATTAATGATGCAGTGTTTGCCTGTGTTTAATAAACTCTTCAACTTCTCACAGCCCGAAGACCTCATGCACATGCAACACTGCAACCTGCTCTGTTTGCCTGAGAACTACCAGATGAAGTACTACCTCTATCATGGTCTCTCATGGCCGCAGTTGTCATATGTAGCCGAGGATGATGAGGGACAGGTTGTTGGGTGAGTCACAGTCTAGGGTGTTACTGATTAGCTATAATGGGGGTGGGGGGGTGGGGCATTTGGGGTCCAAATAACCCCCTCACCTGGCAATCTCCCGGTGTGCGCAAATCACAAAAAAGCTTGAGTACTGTATTTGCATTTCATATTTGGTTCCCATACGTTTTTGCAATGTATCAATTTATATGAACAAATTACACCTCAGACCAGCATTACTGCATTATTTTTGTAACTTTTCACTTTCTTTTCATGCAAGAGACTTTTTAAGTCAAAACTAATTTAGAAATCTGACAATCTAAATATATAGATTATTTTTTATACTGCCTAACATAGGTAAAACTAGGTCTTGGTTAAAAATTCATGCTTTCAATACAGTGTAATGTTATTTTGATAACCCCACACTTGTATGTTTGTGTATTTTATATAAAGATTTACACCAAGTCTTTCGCACCCTCCTGATTGTTTTATCAAGGTCTGAGTACCTGTATGTGGTTAGGACAAGACTTGCATCTCAATGAACGACTAATCAAAGATTAGTCATTGTCTGTGAGAAGGCATTACCATTATTTATGTTATTATTATGGGTGAGCTAATTTCAAATGAAATATTTTAAAATACTGTATACAAAATTGCTCTGTTAGGCAAATCAGGCTCTTCTTAATGCGATAGAATGGGGTTGATTTTATTTTAATATATCTCTGCTGGCTAATGTTAATTATTAATTAGAAATTTCTTACTGTTCAGAATGTTTTTGTTTTACAGCTATGTACTTGCCAAGATGGAAGAGGAAAGTGAAGAGGACCCCCACGGGCACATCACCTCACTAGCTGTCCGCAGGAGTCACAGGTATGAATTGAATGTAAAAAAATGTATACAGTATATGATTCTAATATTGTGGTTTTTTTTTCTTTGCTTTTAATCCCGACTGCAATTGCGTGCAACATCAGCAATGTGCATATGGCAGATGCTTCACGATGCTGTTGGATTCCTGCAGAGAAAATACGTGAGCAAGCATACAGGGCCTAGGAGCAAGGTCACAAAAGAGTCCTTGATGGTCTCCTCTCAGGCTGACTTTACCTGGTCTTGATCCACATTGGTCGTGGAAATCTCAATGCAGTTGAAATGCTTTAAGGGACTCCTAGGGGTCCTCATGGTCCTCAATTTGTCACATTTATAGTTTAGTGACTAATAGGCAACTCGATGTTGAAGACACCCGGGGCTGAAGGTTTAAGGCTACATTACTCGATACTGCCATTGAGTAATGGCAGTATTCAGAAGTGGTTCACTGGAAACACCTCATAATGCTTAACAGTAGTTTATTTACAAAACTTAACCACTAATACAATGGGTGCTTGATTTACTCTTAAGTTGACGTCAGCAAGGTTTTGGTTGCATTAGTGAAACTTGACATCTGACTAATCGATTCCGATCAACTCGTGGAGAAAACCTAACTTAGTACAATTGACAGCCAATCACTAACACAACAAACCTAACTGTCGGTGTGCAAAAGGGTCACAGGAGTTCCAACAGAATACTCAGGCAATGATCATGAACAATAATTATGTCACACAATTACTAAATGTGTGGTGTATGTGAAACTGCTCACATTCACAGACGAGTGTAATGTCGTGATACCATACAGATAAACACTCGTACACAGTCAGGTGTCTTAGTCTCCACCTATACCTGTGTCCGCTGTGGAGATGGTGAGAACTGTGGTTGACCACTTGGATCAGCACACAGAAAGACACTTGATAAAGAAACAAGATCTTGTACTTACAGGTAGGCTAACCTCTCCTATTCACTCACCCACGCTCATTCATGCAAGACCTCGTAGGTGGCCTTACAGCTGGTTTCGCTCGTTACGATGTGAGAGATTCATGATAATTTACATGTGGAAAAAGAGTATAGGGGCTGGTCCTAAACCTGCACACAGAAATAACACCACATAAGACCAGAAGGCATGGCAGGGTGTGCAGAATACCCCTGTTGAAGAGCAAAGATGCAATAGGTACTCTGAGAGAGAACTCTATCAATATCAGAGGCCTGAGACTGTTCAACATGCTTCCACTACACGTAAGGGGTATAACTGGCCAACCCCTCAGTGTTCAAGAGAGAACTTGATAAGCACCTCCAAAGGATACCTGATCAACCAGGCTGTGACTCATATGTCAGGCTGTGAGCAGCTGCGTCTAACAGCCTGGTTAATCGGTCCAGCAACGAGGAGGCCTGGTTGAGGACATTGTTTCTCGCCGGCGAGAAACAATGGGCAGAGTTTCTTTCACCCTATGCCCCTGTTACCTAGCAGTAAAATAGGTACCTGGGTGTTAGTCAGCTGTCACGGGCTGCTTCCTGGGGGTGGAGGCCTGGTCGAGGACCGGGCCGCGGGGACACTAAAAAGCTCCGAAATCATCTCGAGATAACCTCATCTCAAGATAGCCTAAGCATTTAAATTTGTTTTCATGTCACTCAAGACTTTCTCCTCACTCATGCTATAATAAATTGAGTCAGTGAACTACATGCTTTACCTCTTTATGATGGCTTTATTACTTTTGGTTAGTGTGATTCCTTTGTTGATCTCCATCTCCAGTTTGAGGCCCCTTGCTCAAAACTATTAGTTTGCTCCCTTGTGATTTAGGGGTTGGTTACTTTGTAACCAAGCCAGTCTATTTTAGGTGGGCATTATCTACACGCACTCACTTTTTTGGGCACCACTATTCATCACAGGCGAGTCATGGAAAAGTGCGGAGGTTTCCACACTGCAGTCTACACTAAGGAAACGAACATAGGAATGTGCCTAAATGCCAACAGCGACTGCCCAGACAGGTACAAGAGGAGTGTTGTTAACGCATATGTCGACCGTGCTCTCAGCCACAGCTCAGAATGGAAGCAAGTCGACGAAGAACTCTGTAGGGTAAGGCAGGTCCTAGTCAACAACGGCTTCTCCAATGGTTTCGTGGAAGACATCATAAGAAGGAAAGTGAAACGCCATGCAACCTCTGAAGAGACAACTAACACAACACCTATACCCCCTATTAGACTATTTTACAGGAACTTCTTTTCCACAGCTCATAAAACGGAGGAAAGGGTCCTGAAAGATATTGTTAATAGAAACGTTATCCCTACAGACAAAAATCAGAAGATACAACTGACAATTTACTATAAAACCAGAAAAACGGCCAGCCTACTCATGAGAAACTCTCCAGACACAAAACAGAACGCTTTAAAAGAGACTAACGTCGTCTATGCCTTCAAATGCCCTCTTGGGGACTGTAAGCTCCAAAAAACCCAGTATATAGGCAAGACAACAACATCTCTTTCTAGGCGTTTAACGATGCATAAGCAACAGGGCTCCATTAAGGAACATATAATCTCTTCCCACAACCAAACCATCGCCAGAGAAATCCTAGTAAACAACACAGAAATCATCGATAGATACAGCGATAGCAGGCGGCTTGACGTTTGTGAGGCACTACACATCAAGAAGTCAACACCAGCAATCAACAGCCAATTAATGCACAACTATATTCTACCCACCTCAAGACTCCGCTCCAATATAGAAGCATCAAGAAATATGGACCAATAGGCTTTCTACAATCACTTCTATTCAATACCCATTGTTTCGTGTTCTGTCTTGTGTTGATGAAATTAATACCCTATTAATACCACCTCTTGTTCTGTCTTGTGTTGATTAAATTAATACCCTATTAATGCCACCTCACCCCATCCACCTCTCTCAAATGTAGATATAAAATCGGAGATGCGTAAGTTCTATTCAGTTGTGTATTTGTAAACTAAAGTCTTTGAAAATGTAATAAGTTTTACGAAACGCACTCGTGTCGCGTCAGACTAGAAATAAAAATGAATTTTGGAGAATTGATTTTTGATTTACCTCCAACAGTGAAAAGAAATGTACGAAAGATTGAGAAAATTTGTGTTAGAATTATTAATCTTACTTTTTTGGTCATCTTTAATAATATATGTCTACAGGAAAGACTGCTACCAAAATATACTAATATTTATGTATACTGTATATATATTTATATATATTATATATATATATTATATATATTATATATTATATATATTATATATTATATATATTATATATTATATATATATATATATATATATATATATATATATATATATATATATATATATATATATATATATATATATATATATATATATATATATGTCGTACCTAGTAGCCAGAACTCACTTTTTGGCCTACTATTCAAGGCCCGATTTGCCTAATAAGCCAAGTTTTCCTGAATTAATATATTTTTTCTAATTTTTTTCTTATGAAATGATAAAGCTACCCATTTCATTATGTATGAGGTAAATTTTTTGTATTGGAGTTAAAATTAACATAGATATATGTCCGAACCTAACCAACCCTACCTAACCTAACCTAACCTATCTTTATAGGTTAGGTTTGGTTAGGTAGCCGAAAAAGTTAGGTTAGGTTAGGTTAGGTAGGTTAGGTAGTCGAAAACCAATTAATTCATGAAAACTTGGCTTATTAGGCAAATTGGGCCTTGCATAGTAGGCTGAGAAGTGCGTTCTGGCTACTAGGTACGACATATATATATATTATATATATATATATATATATATATATATATATATATATATATATATATATATATATATATATATATATATATATATATATATATATAAAATATAATATAATATAATATAATATAATATAATATAATATAATATAATATAATATTAGTGCTGTCACCTGGTGAAGGTCAGCACAGATGGCCAAACAGAAAAATGAGTACAGTGATTATGACAGTCTTCGTTTACAGTTTTTGTTAACCCTTTGGATGCAAAGTTAGATGTCCGAAGTGAGAATCCTTTTGAAAAGTATACTTTAAACACTTAAAGAAAGCGAAGTACAGATGTACAGTAGAGAAAAAGTTGATATCATATTTATGTACTAAAATGGTGTTTTTATTTTCCAGACGTTTAGGACTAGCACAGAAACTAATGGATCAAACAGCTAGAGCAATGGTCGAGTGCTTTAATGCTAAATATGTCTCTCTTCATGTTCGAAAATCAAACCGAGCAGCTTTGAATCTCTACACTAATACGCTGAAATTCACGTAAGTCTATTTTGGTTTTCTGGTGGCAAGTCGGATACAAAACCTCATTAGTATTTTAATCCTACAGTGCCCTCTGATTTTTTTAACATTGCAGCACACCTGGAGTATTTGTTTAGCCTTATTGCCACAAGTTTTCTTTTTTATTCTAAAACAAAAAAGACAAATGGTTGTACTAAATGGAAATTACACTGACTGGTTAAATGTGGTGAGTGGCATACTGCAAAGTTTCATCTTGGGGCCAACTCCTTTTTTTTTCATATATATCAGTGATAGACATTGATACATATATCAATGTAATATCATCATATCAATGATGATATTACAAACCACATCGTCAAATTTGCCAATGACACTAAAAATATCTATGGTAAAATAGGAAGAAAGTATTGATTTCTTACAAAGATATCTACATGAACTCCACATATGGTTAGAAGATTGGCAAATGTATTTTGTTCTTGAAAACTGCAAGATCTTGCATGTAGGGGCATAATAATGCACATCACAACTATCATACCAACAACACTATAATGCAACAGATTGATGAAGGAAATGATCTACGAGTCAGGGTCCACCATCCATTGAAAGTTGCACATCATGTTGGAGCTGCAGTAAAAAAAAAAAATACCAACCATTCCTTAGCATTAATGAAAATAACCATTTGAGTTTAAGGAAAAGAAAGTGGTTATTCAACTGTACAGGTTTTTCTTTTTCTTCTTGTTGGTATGTGTAATTTGCATGAAGGGTTTGGCCTCCCGATGACTGCACTAGTACGAATGTTGGGAGACACGTTTATGTTGAGAATGATGAAGAGTTTCAAAAGTGTTTGTTACATTGTGCTGTAGATAGAGGAGCAGCAACTAAAACAGAGGGGTTTGTTAGAGGGAGACTTGCCGCACCTTAGGGCGATATGTTGTGTTTATGGCGTCAGCTGATCTTTTATGCTGTGGTGAGGCAGTTGTTTTGTGTTTGGCTGTTGGTGGCGCCAGGTATAAATGTGGTATGGGTCAGATTTGGCCCAATTTGTTAGTCGACAGGAGATATTTAGCCAGTGCTTTGACTATTTTATATTTTTTCTGTAACGAGAGGTCACCGCCTTCTAATATATGCTTGATGGTAAAGGGTATTTTAAGTGCGATAAATACTTGTTATACGTCTACTCTAGCACTATGATGTCGAAAACAGTGAAGGAGATAGTGTTCGATTGTTTCTGGCACATGACAGTGGATGCAGAGTTCATTGATGTCCGTTCTGTATTTAGAGCTTTGTGCTGCCAGTTTGGTGTGTCCCAGCCTTAATATGGTCATAGTTACATCAATTTCTCTGCTTTTATATCTGACGTTTTTCCAAGTTTCCCATTTCTTTTTTTTTTATGGATCCATAGTACAAAGGTGAGCATGACATTTTCCATTTCATTACAAAATCTTGGGTGATGGTATCTTTGAAGGTTCCTTTAAGTGCTAAGTGAGGTATTGTGTAACAACCACCTCACTCCTCACTAAACATGCACACACACAACTCACAATTAACATGAAAGAGTGCAACACACTTGCATTGTTACAATTGGATGACAGGTAATGTAAGGTGTGTTGTGCATCTCTTTGGCCAGTTGATCTACAAGTTCATTATGGAATACACCACAATGTGCTGGGACCCCATTGGATAGAGGTGTCAACCAATTAATCGATGTTCATGAAATTGAAGGCACGGGTAAACAAACTCTTTGCATGTTGTTGAAGGTACAAGTTTTTAGTGCACCCTCCATCTAGACTTAATTACTATATATCCTTCAGAAGGTCATACCTGCTCTGGAGAAAGTTCAACACAGAGCAAGATATATCATCCCAATTCTTTAAAAGTCCAACTACTCTTTTTCTGGTTGCCCTCAGTGGTCTTCTTTCCTCCCTTCCTTCTGGCATCTTCTCTGCTCTTTATGTTGACGATCTACTCTTTGCTGTCAGGGTGATGATTCACCTCTCCTTCAACGGCGGCTTCAACTTGCGATTGATGCCGTGTCATCTTGGGCCACCAATCATGGCTTCAAGTTCTCTACTACTAAGACTTGTGCCATGACTTTTACTCGGAAGCGGGTCGTTCTTCGTCCCTCTTTGTCACTTTATGGTCATCCCCTTGAGTACAAAGATTCCACGAAGCTTTTGGGGTTATTCTTTGACACTTATTATTCTTATGACCCTATAACCATAGGGTTATAAGTTCATGGAAATGTCTACCTTCCAAAACTGTTAATACCAAGACATTGCAGTACTTTGGTTCCAAAACCAGTTGGAAAAAATCCTCGAGAACAAAGGGATGAAGGGGGAGGGGGCCTTTAACAAGCCAGCAATTTCCTGTCCTTGTTGAGGCCACTAGAGAGATAGTGGGTCTCGGGTAAATTCTTGTAAATAATTTGAGCTGTAGGTCACTGCCAAATCATTGCTCTAAGTAACTACATACCAGTATGGTTTATGCCTAAAATGCTCTGCATATTAGAGGCTTTATGCATTGTACTTAACTTGCCTATAAATCCACCACTGATCATGTATCATATGTATGCATGTATGTACTCTAGCATAAATAAATTATGATTATTATTAATCCTGTTAAATGAAACCCTCTCCTTACAGAATTATTGGTTATGGACACAGTTCATTATATGGGGGTTTCCACTGTTGCAAGGAAAATAGTTTCTCATTAACGTTAAAGCTAGTGATGACTTGATTTTTGTGTATACAGTACTATACATTGATACTATATTTCATTGGGAAGGTTAATTTGTAATATTTTTCTTTACTTGGTAGGTAATTATGACAAAAATAATTTATATTGTATTTATTTTTATGGACATTGATTTCCTTGGATGGGCAGAATCTTTTTGAGTAAAAGGCTTACCATTATAATAGAGTACACTATGAATGGTGCAGATTTGGTCAAATTGAATTGCAAAAGACTTTGGACCAACAGATTGTACTTTCATGATGGTATCATTGTCACGTCCATTTGAATATCATATGGACCCAAAAGATTTCTGGTTCTATTATCATTTACTATTTATATCACTTGTTAAATATGTAGATGCAGTATAGTACTTCACAATATTGTTATTAAATAAAGTCATAACTGTAAACCATCCATTTAAAGTACACCAGCTCAAGAAACTGAGTTATATTACAATCTTAATCCTTCTTGTATGTGGTGAAGAGTGTACATAATGAAAAGGTGATTTCAGAACTAGATTTGTATTTTGGTCAATGATATATATTTTGCTGTTATATTAACCGAGCTATATGGTTCAGATGTTGAAAGACTGTTGAGGTTTTTAGGCTGGTGCCTGTATTGGTATATCAGTGCTAACATACTGTCAGGATAATTGTGCAGCATGTTGGCATCAGCATCACAGAGAACATCTGCCATGATGGAACCCTTCCATCACTGATGCTTCTTATGGGAATATAGCACATACAATTTTAGATACCTTACAATATTTGCCCTTGTCCCATTTTTAATTAATATTAGCACATTCATGTTCAATGATTTGCTGGTGCCCAACAACTTAATGGTTGAATGGTAGAGCAACAGTCTGTCTTCACGCAGGTCGGCGTTCACTTCCCGACCGTCCAAGTGGTTGAGCACCATTCCTTCCTCTCGTACCATCCCATATCCTTATCCCGATCCCTTCGCAGTGCTATATAGTTGTAATGGCTTGGTGCTTTCTCCTGATTCCCCTTCCCTTAGCAGGCATACATGTTGTTGCACATAAATGGTCCTAATAATTTTGTTTGTTTAGCTGTTTAATCTTTTTTATCCGCCTTACTGTGTACAGTACTGCGTATAAATGTTTGGAAGTGATTGCTCTTTAATTATTATGTCAAAACAACAAAAAACTGGCATTTAGTATATAGATTGTTACTACTGTATTATGATATTGAACAAATTTTGCCTGTAGATAAACAAGCTAGCCAGTCTTAAAATGTGTATACAAAATTTATTTGTACAGTATCTGTACGACTTTATTGATGCGTGTTGCACGTATTTACTTTTACACATTTTTACTTTTAACATAGTTACTTTTAAATGTAATTGTTATTGAGTGCGCAGTTGTATAGCAAAAATGCCAGAATATGTAAATAACAATGACATTTGTAGAATATTAAATTTGTGCTATTGTTTTCCACAGTATTTCTGAAATTGAACCCAAGTATTATGCTGATGGTGAAGATGCTTTTGCAATGAAGAGAGACCTTTGTTCTTTTGCTCTGCAGAATGATGTTACTCCAGCTGATCCCAACTCCTTTTTTGATAATAAGAAAAATGAAGAAAAATAGTTTGATACCAGTTCTGATGAGTTCTTCCCGAAGATAAAATATCACTTTAATATTCAAATAACTGCTATACAAGTTAATTTCTCAAGGTGATTGGGGTGAGGTTAACCTGCAGCTGTTGCCACCTTGTGTGTGGGGTTTTCCCACAGCTGTTGCCACCTTGTGTGGTGTTAACCCACAGCTGTTGCCACCTTGTGTAGGGTTAACCGTTGACTGGGCTTTCCTTCTGTGTCGGGTTAGTGTACAATTGTTGCGACCTTGAAGACTTTAAAAGTGGGTGCAAGATCAACTAATTTTACAAAACATTAGGATTGCAGCAGTTTCAAATCAGTATTGTTAATTAAAATGGCATTTGTACATTTTTCTTAATGGTACATGGTTTAAATGAAAGATTTGTACATTACTAAGAGAATGATGGCCCTTGTGTTTAGCAGTAAACAAATATATTTACACGTGCATGTATGCCACACATGACAGGAAATGATTTATTTGACAAATCTATTTTATACCTATTTAGATATAGATAGGTATTTAAAAATAAAATAATCATGGCATTACTTGGTTTTAACTGGATTACCTTTTATGAGAGTTAAAATGAATGAGAAGGGGGGATGGTGTTTGTTATAAGAAAAAGAATGAAAAAAAATTAATGGAGTATGGTAAGTAAAGTGAGAACATAAGGATAGAGCAACCTACTAAAGTCATTTTGACTTTCCAGGCAGCTCCTCTCATACACAACCAAACTCGTATGTATTATCAATTGCCCAGGAACCATCCAGCAGTCTCACATCTATTGTGCTGTTTGGTAATTTGTTTCATGAAATGGCCCTTGAGGGAAGCTTCTGTGCACTTCTTGCAGGTAGGTGGAGTTAGCTCCTGCTAGTTCTTAGAAGCCAATATTCAAAATTAAATTATCTTTCATTTCTCAGTTGGCAACACTGACTTAATGTAATTTTCACAAAAAAAAAAAAAAAAAAAAAAAAAGATTCCCATACTTCTGCAGCTAAAACACCATTATCAGTATTAATTTTGTTAAGTGTTTTGCGTACAGTCATCCGGAAATAATGTCACGCGAGAGCTCTCTGGGACGAGTAAAATATTTGGTGAAAAATTTGAGCACGTAGTCACCCGCTCCTCACCCTGTGAATATATTACACAAAGCAGTAATGATGATGATGATGATAATAATTAGCGTCATTACATAGTCATAAAACAATAATAGTACGGTGAAAATTCTAAGTCGTATTTTTAAGAATAAATATATACTTTACACTGTATATATTTATATATATTTAATAACTATATAGTTCTTTACATGACATAACAGGATGAAGTAAACCACCACTAACATTTTTAAATTTATTCACACCGCTGGAACACTGGGGTGAACACTGTGCTTCACACCGCTGGAACACTGCTTCACACCCCTGGAACACTGGGGTGAACATAGTGCTTCACACCCCTAGAACACTGGGGTGAACACTGTGCTTCACACCCCTGGAACACTGGGGTGAACACTGTGCTTCACACCCCTGGAACACTGGGGTGAACACTGCTTCACACCCCTGGAACACTGGGGTGAACACTGTGCTTCACACCCCTGGAACACTGGGGTGAACACTGCTTCACACCCCTGGAACACTGGGGTGAACATAGTGCTTCACACCCCTAGAACACTGGGGTGAACACTGTGCTTCGCACCCCTGGAACACTGGGGTGAACACTGTGCTTCACACCCCTGGAACACTGGGGTGAACACTGCTTCACACCCCTGGAACACTGGGGTGAACACTGCTTCACACCCCTGGAACACTGGGGTGAACACTGCTTCACACCCCTGGAACACTGGGGTGAACACTGCTTCACATGTGAGGTTAACCTGCAGCTGTTGCCACCTTGTGTGTGGGGTTTTCCCACAGCTGTTGCCACCTTGTGTGGTGTTAACCCACAGCTGTTGCCACCTTGTGTAGGGTTAACCGTTGACTGGGCTTTCCTTCTGTGTCGGGTTAGTGTACAATTGTTGCGACCTTGAAGACTTTAAAAGTGGGTGCAAGATCAACTAATTTTACAAAACATTAGGATTGCAGCAGTTTCAAATCAGTATTGTTAATTAAAATGGCATTTGTACATTTTTCTTAATGGTACATGGTTTAAATGAAAGATTTGTACATTACTAAGAGAATGATGGCCCTTGTGTTTAGCAGTAAACAAATATATTTACACGTGCATGTATGCCACACATGACAGGAAATGATTTATTTGACAAATCTATTTTATACCTATTTAGATATAGATAGGTATTTAAAAATAAAATAATCATGGCATTACTTGGTTTTAACTGGATTACCTTTTATGAGAGTTAAAATGAATGAGAAGGGGGGATGGTGTTTGTTATAAGAAAAAGAATGAAAAAAAATTAATGGAGTATGGTAAGTAAAGTGAGAACATAAGAATAGAGCAACCTACTAAAGTCATTTTGACTTTCCAGGCAGCTCCTCTCATACACAACCAAACTCGTATGTATTATCAATTGCCCAGGAACCATCCAGCAGTCTCACATCTATTGTGCTGTTTGGTAATTTGTTTCATGAAATGGCCCTTGAGGGAAGCTTCTGTGCACTTCTTGCAGGTAGGTGGAGTTAGCTCCTGCTAGTTCTTAGAAGCCAATATTCAAAATTCAATTATCTTTCATTTCTCAGTTGGCAACACTGACAATGTAATTTTCACAAAAAAATAAAAGATTCCCATATTTCTGCAGCTAAAACACCATTATCAGTATTAATTTTGTTTAGTGTTTTGCGTACCAGTCATCCGGAAATAATGTCACGCGAGAGCTCTCAGGGACGAGTAAAATATTTGGTGAAAAATTTGAGCACGTAGTCACCCGCTCCTCACCCTGTGAATATATTACACAAAGCAGTAATGATGATGATGATGATAATAATTAGCGTCATTACATAGTCATAAAACAATAATAGTACGGTGAAAATTCTAAGTCGTATTTTTAAGAATAAATATATACTTTACACTGTATATATTTATATATATTTAATAACTATATAGTTCTTTACATGACATAACAGGATGAAGTAAACCACCACTAACATTTTTAAATTTATTCACACCGCTGGAACACGGGTGAACACTGTGCTTCACACCGCTGGAACACTGCTTCACACCCCTGGAACACTGGGGTGAACACTGTGCTTCACACCCCTAGAACACTGGGGTGAACACTGTGCTTCACACCCCTAGAACACTGGGGTGAACACTGTGCTTCACACCCCTGGAACACTGGGGTGAACACTGTGCTTCACACCCCTGGAACACTGGGGTGAACATAGTGCTTCACACCCCTAGAACACTGGGGTGAACACTGCTTCACACCCCTAGAACACTGGGGTGAACATCGTGCTTCACACCCCTGGAACACTGGGGTGAACACTGTGCTTCACACCCCTGGAACACTGGGGTGAACACTGTGCTTCACACCCCTGGAACACTGGGGTGAACACGGCTTCACATGACTAGTACAGACCTTCCAAAATCGGGAGGCGAAGAAAGATCAAGTTCTGCACTCCAGGAATATCACCATCACAAATAATGATACAAAGTACAATACATCACTTTATAAATACATAAGAATATTAATTTGGAAGAAAAAAGAAGTAACAAAATTAGTTCCAAAGAAGAGGAGAAAGCGAGCAGACGCGGTATAGTTGACCGCCGCCGCCGCCATCACCCATCTCTTCACCTGCACGCACCTCGTACATCCAGGAGTCATCACATGCCACAGTCGCCGCTTTTATATTATAAGACAATCTGGAAAGCATTTTTTTTATTTATATACTGTATAAAAAACATAATATCTGTGGCTGGAGGCCAGAGACATACTTATGGTTAGCCTCATGCAACTTTCTTTAGTAATTATGTAAGAGTTTTATAGGCGGGTCGGGGTCGACCCCCCATGCTCCGTAAGTAGGATTGGCTCCTGTTGTGACAACCAATGACTCCTATGAAGTAAAATGGTAGTTTGCTTTTTCATAAAGTTTTTCATTAGATTTTCTGGTTTTTATCACACATGAGCACAATGTTGTATCAGAGTAACAACAGTAAACAATAATGGTATGGTTACCTTGTGCTGGGAGCGCATATTGTAAGTTCAGAGGATGTGGAAGAGAGGCAGAGAAGGAGAGAGAGAGGACACAGAGTGGTACCCGGGCACCGCCGGGTACCACATTAATTTTATTTTAAATTTGTAACAAGTTTTTGTCTTGGACACAAACAAACTCTTGCAATGGAAGATTGCACGAGTTTAACGGTCTTATAATTCTATATCTACATATATACACTATCACAGCGCCTTAGTCTTATTTGTATAATGTGTTCAGAAATAGGCTACACACACACACACACACACAGAGTGAGCCGGTAGCCGAGCAGACAGCACGCTGGACACGTGATCCTGTGGTCCCGGGTTCGATCCCGGGCGCCGGCGAGAAACGATGGGCAGAGTTTCTTTCACCCTATGCTCCTGTTACCTAGCAGTAAATAGGTACCTGGGAGTTAGTCAGCTGTCACGGGCTGCTTCCTGGGGTGTTTGTGTGTGGTCTGGAGAAAAAAAAAATAGTAGAAACAGTTGATTGACAGTTGAGAGGCGGGCCGAAAGAGCAGAGCTCAACCCCCGCAAACACAACTAGGTGAATACACACACACACGGTTAGAAAGGCGGGGTCCAAGAGACAATACCTCGATTCTGCAGATACAAATAGTAAACACACACACATACACTACACGTGCAGAGAGCAGCAGTTGAGACACAGTAAGGCACATGTAATGTGTGGCACAAGACAGGGAAGGCTGACTGCATGACGCTCTCTACCACCAACGTCTCGCACACAAACGATGACAAACCGTTCCTCTCAATATACAACCTGTCAATACCGTTTCTCTCAATACACGAAAACTGTTCCTCTCAATATATAACCTGGCCATATCTGACGGTTGTTTGGGAAATGCTTTATGATTGTTAGAGTACGAGCGAGACTAGTGGAGGTGTGCTGGAACACCTTCAGGAACACGACGCAGTAACTTGACCCAGCGAGTTGCTTCTACACGACAGGCTGTGTGCTTGTCTTCTTGACCACCAGAGACGCTTCACGGGTTCTTGAGGGGAGACATCTCCCGTCACACAGGGTGCAGTCGTACCTCCACTGATCTCCAGTATCAGCTCTTGATACTGATAATGGCTCAAAAGGGCCACCACTTACGGGCTATTCATGTCCGTGCCACCTTTTTGGGTGGCTTAATCTTTATCAATCAATCGGTTTCTTGAGAGGCTGTGTTTCCCCCCCTCCCCTCCCCCTCCAGGCCTTATCCTCACCCTGGCTTTACTATCACGTACCGTGTTAAGGGATGGAGAGAGTTAATGGTGTCCACGTCCAGGGACTGTTTGGTTTGTGTGCCTGTGTACTTCTACCAGGTGTGCTTTCATGATCCAGTTCCTGGGCTCCCCTTCTTGGTGGTGGCAGCACTGGTCACCAGACACCACCCATGGGACAACCTGCAAACCCTTGATAATCGTCTCCAGTCGCCAGATAATTACAGCACACTTTCACTTTCTCATTATTCTCAAATTTAAATCTCAAAAGACAAAATAAAAACAGATTTTAAATCTTGACACTAAAATTATAAATAATCTTTGTACATGTTTTTAATTCAACAACACTCAAGAAGACTTGGACACTGGAGTGAGATGAGTGTAGTGGGGATGGTGAGGTGAGCGTTGCAAGTGGCGGGATGGGTGTTGAGTGAGGGGTGACTGAGGACTACGGGCACTCGTCAAGCTCGTATTGGGGACTGGATGATTGGCTGGAAGGAAACCTGACGCTGGCTAGCTGAGGTTGTGTGGGTGTGAAGGGAGGTCACGCAGTGTAGAGTGTACAGGCGAATGACGAACGGTGATGGGGCTACACTTGAGCACTGGGAGGCCTCAGTGCCTGCAGTGTGACAAGCTCCAGGCTACTGTCACCCTCTCCAGCCAGTAACTGTCACCCTCTCCAGCCAGTCACATGTTAATTGCTGGAAGCACACCTTTTCACTACGTGTGGGCTGACATCAAGTGTGTGCTGGAACTGGCTTGGAGTCAACATTTGGGGTTGACACAAATTCCTTGAGATTGATATAAGAGGAACCAGTTGTTGTGTTCAGGAGAAGCCAGATCTCTTGGTGACAGCGAGGTGCGTAGTCTGCCACTGGCCCAGCTTCCTGTCGCCCCTCTCTAGCGAGCCGGTCATGTGGTACCCTCTCTGTTGGTCAGCCGGGGTCAGCGTCGAGGTCAGCACTAGCCGGAAGTCGCCGTCTGGGAGTCCCCGGAAGCTGCCTTCCACCACCACCTCCCCTTCTCGTGCCGGCAGGAGGCGACCCACAGTCTTGTGTCTGAAACACCAACACCACCATGAAACACCCAATATTCTCTCTCTCTCTTATTTATTTTATTTATTTATTTATTTATATACAAGAAGGTACATTGGGTTTGTGAGAATACATAGCATAGTATGGTAATTACACTCTTGTAAAGCCACTAGTAAGCGCAGCGTTTCGGGCAGGTCCTTAATCTAACAGATAATTTTAAGTAGGTAAGTTCTATCAGAATTAATATAATGATAACAAATACATTGCAAGAAAAAAATGAGATGAGAGAGATTAGTAAGTATATTAAAGCTCTGATTGATTACATTGACAGCTTGATTGGTAATTTAAACAAGATTAATTGACACCATACAGCAGATTGACTGTCTCTTCTCTCTCTCTCTCTCTTTCTCTCTCCTCTCTCTCTATCTTTCTCTCTCCTCTCTCTCTCTCTCTCTCTCTCTCTCTCGCTCTCTTTCTCTCTCCTCTCTCTCTATCTTTCTCTCTCTTTTTCTCTCTCCTCTCTCTCTTTCTCTTTCCTCTCTCTCGCTCTCTCTCTCTATCTTTCTCTCTCCTCTCTATCTCTCTCTCTATCTTTCTCTCTCCTCTCTCTATCTTTCTCTCTCTCCTCTCTCTCTTTCTCTTTCCTCTCTCTCTCTCTCTCTCCTCTCTCTCGCTCTCTTTCTCTCTCCTCTCTCTTTCTCTCTCCTCTCTCCTCTTTCTCTCTCTCTCCTCCCCTGTGACCAGAGCCTAAACGCGGGGCGGGGGACATGTTTCACTGCTGACTCATACACCACTCAAAATTGCAAGTAAAGTGATCTTGAATAGTGCAATGATGGTACTGGTATGTGTGTGTGCGTGTGCGTGTGTGTGTGTGTGTACTCACCTATTTGTACTCACCTATTTGTGCTTGCGGGGGTTGAGCTTTGGCTCTTTGGTCCCGCCTCTCAACTGTCAATCAACTGATGTACAGATTCCTGAGCCTACTGGGCTCTATCATATCTACATTTAAAACTGTGTATGGAGTCAGCCTCCACCACATCACTGCCTAATGCATTCCATCCGTTAACTACTCTGACACTAAAAAAGTTCCTTCTTACGTCTCTGTGGCTCATGTGAGTACTCAGTTTCCACCTGTGTCCCCTTGTTCGCGTCCCACCAGTGTTGAATAGTTTATCCTTGTTTACCCGGTCGATTCCTCTGAGGATTTTGTAGGTTGTGATCATGTCTCCCCTTACTCTTCTGTCTTCCAGTGTCGTAAGGTGCATTTCCCGCAGCCTTTCCTCGTAACTCATGCCTCTTAGTTCTGGGACTAGTCTAGTGGCATACCTTTGGACTTTTTCCAGCTTCGTCTTGTTCTTGACAAGGTACGGGCTCCATGCTGGGGCCGCATACTCCAGGATTGGTCTTACATATGTGGTGTACAAGATTCTGAATGATTCCTTACACAGGTTCCTGAACGCTGTTCTGATGTTAGCCAGCCTCGCATATGCCGCAGACGTTATTCTTTTTATGTGGGCTTCAGGAGACAGGTTTGGTGTGATATCAACTCCTAGATCTTTCTCTCTGTTCGTTTCATTAAGTACTTCATCTCCTATTCTGTATCCTGTGTTTGGCCTCCTATTTCCACCACCTAGTTTCATTACTTTGCATTTACTCGGGTTGAACTTCAACAGCCATTTGTTGGACCATTCACTCAGTCTGTCTAGGTCATCTTGTAGCCTCCTACTATCGTCCTCAGTTTCAATCCTCCTCATAATTTTTGCATCATCGGCAAACATTGAGAGAAACGATTCTATACCCCCTGGAAAATCATTTACATATATCAGAAACAGTATAGGTCCAAGGACTGACCCCTGCGGTACTCCACTCGTAACGTCTCGTCAATCTGAGACCTCACCCCTCACACTGACTCGTTGTCTCCTGTTACTTAGGTACTCCTGTATCCAACGGAGTACCTTCCCTTTCACTCCAGCCTGCATCTCCAGTTTTTTCACTAGCCTCTTGTGTGGCACTTTGTCAAAGGCTTTCTGACAATCCAAAAATATGCAGTCTGCCCTCCCTTCTCTTTCTTGCCTTATTTGTGTTGCCTGATCGTAGAATTCAAGTAACCCTGTGAGGCAGGACCTGCCATCCCTGAATCCATGTTGATGCTGTGTTACAAAGTTCTTTCGCTCCAGATGTTCCACTAGCTTTCTTCGCAAGCTAGTGTGTGTGTGTGTGTATTCACCTAGTTGTGTTTGCGGGGGTTGAGCTTTGCTCTTTCGGCCCGCCTCTCAACTGTCAATCAACTGTTTACTAACTACTTTTTTCCACACACCACACACACACACACCCCAGGAAGCAGCCCGTGACAGCTGACTAACTCCCAGGTACCTATTTACTGCTAGGTAACAGGGACATTCAGGGTGAAAGAAACTTTGCCCATTTGTTTCTGCTTGGTGCGGGAATCGAACCCGCGCCACAGAATTACGAGTCCTGCGCGCTATCCACCAGGCTACCAGGCCCCCCCCTGTGTGTGTGCGTGTGTGTGTGTGTGTGTGTGTGTGTGTGTGTGTGTGTGTGTGTGTGTGTGTACTCACCTAGTTGTACTTGCGGGGGTTGAGCTCTGACTCTTTGTTCCCGCCTCTCAACTGTCAATCAACAGGTGTACAGGTTCCTGAGCCTATTGGGCGCTATCATATCTACACTTGAAACTGTGTATGGAGTCAGCCTCCACCACATCACTTCCTAATACATTCCATTTGTCAACCACTCTGACACTAAAAAAGTTCTTTCTAATATCTCTGTGGCTCATTTGGGCACTCAGTTTCCACCTGTGTCCCCTAGTGCGTGTGCCCCTTGTGTTAAATAACCTGTCTTTATCTACCCTGTCGATTCCCTTGAGAATCTTGAATGTGGTGATCATGTCCCCCCCCTAAATCTTCTGTCTTCCAACGAAGTGAGGTTTAATTCCCGTAGTCTCTCCTCGCAGCTCATACCTCTCGGCTCGGGTACTAGTCTGGTGGCAAACCTTTGAACCTTTTCCAGTTTATTCTTATGCTTGACTAGATATGGACTCCATGCTGGAGCTGCATACTTCAGGATTGGTCTGACAAGTGGTATACAAGGTTCTGAATGATTCCTTACACGTTTCTAAAGGTCCTTCTTAAGTTGGCTATATGCACATGTTGACCATAACCTGGCATATGCTTCTGATGTTATTCTCTTGATAGGGGCTTCGGGAGACAGGTCTGGCGTGATATCAACCCCCAGGTCTTTCTTTTTCTCTGATTCTTGAAGAATCTCATCTCCCAAATGATACTTTGTATCTGGTCTCCTGCTCCCTATTCCTATTTTCATTACATTACATTTGTTCGGGTTAAACTCAAACAACCATTTGTTGGACCTTTAGTTTGTCCAGGTCTTCTTGAAGCCTCAAGCAGTCCTCCTCTGTCTTAATCCTTCTCATAATTTTGGCATCGTCAGCAAACATTGAGAGAAATGAGTCTATACCCTCTGGGAGATCATTTACGTATATCAGAAACAGAATAGGTCCGAGTACAGAGCCCTGTGGGACTCCACTGGTGACCACGCCAATCTGAGGTCTCATCCCTCACTGTAACTCTGATTCCTATTGCTTAGGTACTCCCTTATCCACTGGAGCATCCTACCAGTTACTCTTGCCTGTTTCTTCAATTTAACACCTTTTATGGGATACTGTGTCAAAGGCTTTCCGACAGTCCAAGAAAATACAGTCTGCCCACCCTTCTCATTCTTGCTTACTCTTTGTCAAGTTCAAGTACGTTTATTGAGACAAGAAAATACATCTCAAAGGAATAAAGTAGCTTAGGCTATTTCTATCCCCCTACTATTTGTCACCTGATCGTAGAATTCTATTAAACAAGTGAGGCAAGATTTACCATCCCTGAACTCATGTTGATGGGTTGTCACAAAGTTCCTTCTCTCCAGATGTGTTACTAAGTTTTGTCTCACAATCTTCTCCATCACTTTGCATGGTATACAAGTTAAGGACACTGGTCTGTAGTTCAGTGCCTCTTGTCTGTCACCCTTTTTGTGAATTGGGACTACATTAGCCGTCTTTCATATTTCTGGTAAATTTCCCGTCTCCAGTGACCTCGCGACTGAGTGGCTAGCGCTTTGGAGTCGTAATCCTAAGGACCTGGGTTCGATTCCCGCCGGAGGCGGAAACAAATGGGTAAAGTTTTTTTCACCCTGATACTCCTGTTCATCTAACAGTAAATAGACACCTGGGAGGTAGACAGTTGCTACGGGCTGCTTCCTGGGATGTGTGTGCGAATGTGTTAAAGAGAAAAATATGTAGTAGATATAATAAGAGGAAAAATAGATTGGTCAGAAAGGCGGGGTCCAAGATCAAATAGCTTGATTTTGCAGTCACAAAAAATAGTAAATACACATACACACAAAATATAACTTTCTAATTTCAACAGCAGGAAGTATAAGGTGGTGGTAACAGGTGACAGTAAACCAAAAGGATGGTACACAATGAAGGGAAATACCTTCCTATAACGACTAGGGAAAAAGACCTGGAAGTGCTCTTTAATGACGAAAGTCACAACATGATTCAGGAAGCTAAATGAGGCATTTAGACCTCTGTACACTGCCTACGAGACCAATGTCAAAGTATGCCCCATCATCATGGAGGCCTCCGTCTACAAAAAACATTCGGAAATGACAAGGTTCAGCAGTGTGCAACGAGCCTCACCCCAGGATTGCAAGGGATAGGCTATGAGGAAACACTAAAAAAACTAGACCTGACATTAGAAAAGTGGGAGGAAATGAGAGACATGATAAAGACGTATAAATACTTGGCGAGATTGACATAGTGGATAAAGAGGAAATGTTTGCCAGGAATACCAATAGAACAAGAAGGCGTGGGGCGGAGGCTTGAGAAACACATGAATCATAAGAGAGGTTAGAAAGCTTGTTTTCCTTAGCGGACGTAGATGTTGGGGGGAAATGGAATTAAGTGAAGGAGCAGGGTGTAGAAGCCAACTCCATTCATAATTGTAAAAAGTAGATATGATAAGGAAATGATAAGGAAGTCATTGCACTAGACTACCAGATGCTAGAAAGGTGGCGGTAATTCGGCATATCTGTGCTTGCCGAAGCTCGATTCGGCAAGCATAGATATGTAAGTAAACACACACACATTCACACACCTGACAGCTGTGTCAGCTGTGTCTGTGTGTGTTTCTGTTTCTGCATTCTCACATTAGGTGGGTGGTACAAGCACTCACACACCAGATGGGTGGTACAGGCACTCCCACACACCAGGTGGGTGGTGTAGAAGCTGGAGAGGAAGGTGTAGACACACACATGAGGTCAAGACGTGGTCGGTGCGGCTCCTTAACACTTAAGCCCCCTCCGTGCGCCTTAACACCATGTATCACACACAACTCACACATACAAGCCTGCAGGCGGGAGGCGGAGAGCCAGAGCTTGTACTGTGATCACTCACGGGTAAGCACCCGCCATAACTCTTCTCTCATCTCCATATGAGGACCAATGTATTACTTTAGAACAATGTAATGTGACAGTTACCTACCTCTTGGTTCCCTCCACCTCCAATATATAGCAGTGTCTCCTGGACCACCATGGTGTCTTGAGCAGCCAGTGGCTGTTGCACGCTGCCCTCGCCCACCCCTCCTCCGGGTACAGCCACACCTGTAGGCACACCACACATGTCTTAGTATCCCTCCTCCGGGTACAGCCACACCTGTAGGCACACCACACATGTCTTAGTATCCCTCCTCCGGGTACAGCCACACCTGTAGGCACACCACACATGTCTTAGTATCCCTCCTCCGGGTACAGCCACACCTGTAGGCACCACACATGTCTTAGTATCCCTCCTCCGGGTACAGGCACACCTGTAGGCACACCACACATGTCTAAGTACACTGTGTTCCACTTATGGACTGTTGAGAACTCTGCCTCACTTGGGTACCAGATGGGAAGGTGTTCACGCCAGGGTGGTGAACTATAGGGCCCAGAGAAGGTCAGTCGTCTGCAGCTTCCAGTGAGAGGGGAAAGGAACTGTCAGAGTTAAGTGCCACACCATTACGACTATATAGCACTTGGGAGGAGCCAGGATAAGGATTTGGGATGGGACGGGAGGAAGGAATAGTGCTCAACCACTTGGATATGGTCCGGGATTGAACGCTGAACTGCAGGAAGCGAGACCGTCGCTCTACCGTCCAGCCCAAGACTAGCAGTAAGGTGCTATTTCCCCAGAATGACAAATCGATGGTTGGTGGTGAAGGTTGAATAACAAGGGGTCCAGATTCACGAAGCAGTTATGCAAGCACTTACGAACCTGTACATCTTTTTTCAATCTTTGGCGGCTTTGTTTACAATTATTAAACAGTTAATGAGCTCTGAAGCAGCAGGAGGCTGTTTATAACACTAACAAACAGTTGATTGGGAAGTTTTCATGCTTTTAAACAGTTTAATAAATGTAACCAAAGCCGTCAAAGATTGAGGAAAGATGTACACGTTCGTAAGTACTTGCATAACTGCTTCGTGAATCTGGCCCCAGGTGACATATGAGCAATCAGGTGAAGTATGAATGACAGCCCGTCCTCTAAACAAGACCCAAAAGTAATTCCATGCACCCGCCAAACCCCCTGTTTATGAATGAAAAACGGTTTACACACGACTTACAACTGATGACGTCCGAACACTTCCGGAACAAGTGCTTCACTGACGAATTTTGTTCGAACCACTACGCTATAAATGCTTCACCCACGTACTACAAATACAAATAATCGCCAACAGAACCTAAACACCTAACCTAACCTATATATGGACAATATGCTAATATATTATAATATTAATTTATATCTAAGAAAATTCTCGTTTTGAATGAGCAGCATGTTAAAATTTATGAATGCGTCTGTGGGGTTGACCGCTGGATGTAATGGGCATGAGTCGAGGACGGGTTGATGAATGATCAGGTGAAGCATGAATCATCAGGTGAAGTATGAATGATGAGGTGAGACATAAACTATCAGGTGAAGCAAGAATGATCAGGTGAACTATGAATGATCAGATGAAGTATGAATGAATCTGTTAAAATTTTGTTGTATGGGAAGTGATGAATGAGTGAGGTGAGTAACGTCGGACACGCCCTCACAACTAGTCTCACTCACCTACATTCACACCTGGCCTCTCACACCTGGCCAGTGTGGCTCCGTGAACAGGTGAGAGAGCCACGCTCCCACAGGTAAACAAACACTGCCTCCGGAGGGGCAACATTACGCCACCTGTCCTTGTCGTTATTGTTTGTCCTTGTTGTTGTTGTTGTTGAGGATGGAGGGTGTTTTTGTTGTCATTGTTGACGGTGTCAATATTGTGTTTTATTACTCTACTGTGGTTGGTACTGCTGGGTTTGTTGATATGCGGAGTAGAGTTTATTATGTGTAGCATCACTTACATATTACTACCATACTACCACTATAATACCACCACCCCCGCACACCATTACCACACCACCACCACCACAAACCCCTACCACACTACCACCACCACACACCCCTACCACACTACCACCACCACACACCCCTACCACACTACCACCACCACACACCCCTACCACACTACCACCACCACACACCATTACCACACCACACAATTACCACACACCACCACCACCATCACACCACTACCACAACTACCACTACCACACACCACACCACTACCACACACCACACCACCACTACCACACACCATCACTACCACATCACCACCACCACTACCACACCACCACTAGCACACACCACCACTACCACACACCACACCACCACTAGCACATACCACCACACACCACACCACCACCACACACCACCACTACCACACACCACACACCACCACTACTACACACCACCACTACCACACACCACCACTACCACACACAACCACTACCACACACCACCACTACAACACACCACCACACCACACACCACCACTACAACACACCACCACTACAACACACCACCACTACCACACACCACCACTACAACACACCACCACTACCACCACACCACCACTACCACACACCACCACTACCACCACACCACCACACCACACACCACCACTACAACACACCACCACTACCACACACCACCACTACCACACACCACCACTACCACACACCACCACTACCACACACCACCACAACCACCACACCACCACACCACACACCACCACTACCACACACCACCACTACAACACACCACCACACCACACACCACTACCACACACCACCACACCACACACCACCACCACAACCACTCACCACCACTACCACACACCACACACCACCACTACCACCACTACCACACACCACCACTACCACACACCACCACTACCACACACCACCACTACCACACACCACACACCACCACTACCACACACCACCACTACCACACACCACCACTACCACACACCACCACTACCACACACCACCACTACAACACACCACCACTACAACACACCACCACTACAACACACCACCACTACCACACACCACCACTACAACACACCACCACACCACACACCACCACTACCACACACCACACACCACCACTACCACACACCACCACTACAACACACCACCACTACAACACACCACCACTACCACACACCACCACTACCACACACCACCACTACAACACACCACCACACCACACACCACCACTACAACACACCACCACAACAACACACCACCACAACAACACACCACCACACAACACACCACCACACCACACACCACCACTACAACACACCACCACACCACACACCACCACTACCACACACCACCACTACCACACACCACCACCACCACACACCACCACTACCACACACCACACACCACCACCACACACCACCACCACAACCACTCACCACCACTACCACACACCACCACTACCACACACCACCACTACAACACACCACCACACCACACACCACCACTACAACACACCACCACACCACACACCACCACTACCACACACCACCACTACCACACACCACCACTACCACACACCACCACTACCACACACCACCACTACCACACACCACCACACCACACACCACCACTACCACACACCACCACTACCACACACCACCACTACCACACACCACAACCACTCACCACCACACCACCACTCACCACACACCACCACTACAACACACCACCACTACCACACACCACCACTACAACACACCACCACAACCACTCACCACCACACCACCACTACCACACACCACACACCACCACCACAACACACCACCACTACAACACACCACTCACCACCACACACCACAACCACTCACCACCACAACCACACACCACCACCACAACCACTCACCACCACCACAACCACACACCACCACTACAACACACCACCACTACAACACACCACTCACCACCACACACCACAACCACTCACCACCACAACCACACACCACCACCACAACCACTCACCACCACCACACACCACACACCACCACCACAACCACTCACCACCAACCTTCACGGGCGGAGAGTCCATAAGTCGAGGAGACGTGTCGAAACACGTACCATTCATCGTCCTTTATTACAACTGTTGCAGGCGGAGTGTGAGTGTGTGAGGGTGGCAGGAACCTGCAGTTACCTCACAACCGGCCCCCCCCTCACACCTCACCTGCAGGCCCCCCTCACCCCTCACACCCCCCCTGGCCCACACACACTGGCTCAAGCCACACAATACAACCACAACCTCACATTAAAACCGGTTATCCAGAGATTTAACTGTCAGTGTTTCAGGTTTGCTCTGGGAGATGCGGATGGTGACTGAGGAGGTCTTGGAGGAGGAGGAGGAGGATGGAGAGGGATGGCGGGGGAGGGGGAGGGAGAGGCTATTGGAGGGAAGGGCTCCCCCCTCCCCGTAGTAGATGGGTCTGGTACTCCCATCTCCCACCTGTAAGAATGGCAGCAAGGCGCCTGGAGTCTGCATACACCATTTACCATCATTGGCTGGAGTAATAGGGTATGTGTGGTGTGCAGGGGCCCCCACACACCTCACCCTACACCGCTCACCCACCCCCACATGCCTCACTCGCCTCACTCACCCACACACACAACATTGCCCATATAAATATAACTACCAACACAATTTCTCCAGCCGACATCCGGGGGATGTTACCTGACAAGTCTCCATAGTGTTGTGTTGATCCCCCAACCTCTCACACCCCGTCTGTCTTGTACGGTGATGGGTGTCCCGGTGACGGGTGTCCCGGTGACGGGTGTCCCCGTGACGGGTGTGGGATGTGTCTGGTTGACAGGTGTGTTGAACGAATGATGTCAAAAGTACTTCCGGGTTAGGTTGGTGGTGGTGCACACGCCTCCTCGTCCTCCCTGGGTCCCGGGTACTGGCCGCCGCCGCCGCCCTCCCTCAAGAAACTGTCCTTGTTGTTAATTTTGTTTAATTTTGCCCCGAGGGGCGAGTTTATTGGGCAGCGGCACTCGTCCTGTGAGTGGACACACCGCCATAGTGACAGTATTGGGCAGCGGCACTCGTCCTGTGAGTGGACACACCGCCATAGTGACAGTATTGGGCAGCGGCACTCGTCCTGTGAGTGGACACACTGCCATAGTGACAGTATTGGGCAGCGGCACTCGT